AAGACTTAACTTATGTAAAATTTAAAAAACTTTTGTTTTCTTTACTAGTCAACAAGTGTTATTACTCTGTAAATGATTATCTAATGGACAAGACATAGTATTGTAAGATTGATGAATAAAAAAATGTATAAAATATATAACTTAATCATCTATCTATCTATCATTGTTAATTTTCATCTGTAAAACATTTAATATGAATTTATAATTATAATTGCATTGTTAATTTAATTTCTAATTTTAATTTAATAGTTAATTTTAATTTATAATTTAAGCCTAATATTTGCATGCCTTAAGGTAGAATTTACTGGAACTTATACTAAAATCTATTTGTACACCTATATTCTGTACCTACATTCAGAGCAAACAATTATTATTATTAGTAAATGATCAAAATCGTCTTTTTGTAATTGTCCACTTTCTTCTTGTTTTTGCATATCCGTCATAGTTTCACCTACATTATCTACAGATGCATTAAATTTGTAACCCACCAACGTCTCTTCCTTCGTTTATTTTTGAGTTTTTGCGACAAAACAATAATGATATCGCTATCAGAGTCAGACATAACGAAGCACTACCAATCCTATCCACAGAATTGAGCCGAATGAGCAAAGACATTCGATCTAGCTTTGGTTTACACTAAAAGATTACGAAAGAATGCTCTTGTTCGAGCTCTAGCTCTATGTTCGTTTGATGTAAACCGGCCTTAAGATGGAGAAGGTTTGAGAATTAATCACCACGCTTGCTCAAGACGGGTTGGTGATTTCAAACTTATAATTTGATATTAAGATCCAGGTTTCCTCACGATGTTTTCCTTCATCTGTCAGTGATGTCTAAATGCTCTTATAAAGTACATATGACTCGGGAACATTACATTGGTACTTGCCAGGATCGAACCCGCGCCTTCATGTTTGAGAGACGGGCCTTTAACCACTAAGTCACCACTAGTAGACTATTTATTTAAGATGATTTAGAAGTGAAGTGACTTTTCTCTAATAAAACGGAATTAAAAAGAGTAAATCTTTATAAGTAAATATATATCGTTGTCATTAAATCTTTGAAAATATTTCATTTTATCAATTTACATCATAGAATGATTTGACCAGAAACAACTTGAATATATTTTCAAGATAAGAAAAGTATTATTTTCTTCATAATCTCCTAATAAAGGTTTTGAATAATAAATATATCCGGATTTTTCGTTCCGCGGCTTAAGATGAGAATAAGAAATGGACTGGTTTTTAAAATAGTCATTTTAAAATGTTTTATGTACTCATTTATATTATTTATCTGAAATATATAAGATTTTTTTCATTTTGTAGTCATTAATCTTATAAAATGACAAATATATGTCGTCTTACACAGATAATAAAACCTCCTTACTCTAAAACTCTTTGGTCTAACCTTTTTACTTAAAAACATACATATCATAAAGAACCGTTTACTGGCTCGTTGGTTGTTAATTAATGTCACAGTTTTATTATTTTTCAGAACTTACATTTATTGTTTCTGAGAGTTTTAATCAGCACAATAAATTGTCCTTTTGCATGAGGAATTAAAAAAAAAACATTTAAATGAATGACCAATATCTTCTTATAGTTTTAGACCTCAGCTTCTTCTTAGTAATCTTAGGACTATTTTAAGTTTACCAAAACTGTGTCGTAAAAACGTAATTATCGTGTTAAGTTACAACCTCGTACTAAGTTAAAGGAAATGTGTAAAGATATTGAACTGTTTGCGAAAGGGACAACAAAAATATGTAAGGATGTTTCTTAGAAAAATATAATTATAATAAAATAATATAAATACAAATCAAGACTTTAAGATACAAATCAAATTTGACTTTCCAATCTTTACTCTGTAGCATTTGCTGTCAAAATGCCGCCAAAATGAAAATTTTATATAATCAATAAAACAACTTAAATATCAAACGATTATGGTAGAAAAGTTAAAAAAAAGTGTAATATCTGATAAAATGATAATAAAAATCTATAAATAATATTAAATATGTTGAAACATTCATCTTGATATATTTGTTGCGGACGTGGTTTAATAATTGGACGTGGTTATACCTAAATGAAGCAACGATTAAAAAATAAAGTCAATTGACTGTCTGAAAATGTCAAAAAATATTTATCATACTAAAATATAGATAATAATATAATTAATTTATGAAGTATTATAATATGTGAAATAAGTGAAATATTAGATTGAAAAAAATTTATAACTATTACGAAACTAGCAACTGTAAATTCAAGAAAAGAAAAAATACACAAAATATAAATATATGAAATAAAATTAGTTACTTTGTAACGTTTATTAAATGGAAATTAATGAATAAACAGACAAACACACTTCATAATGTACAGAGGTCCTCTTTCTACATAACCAAATTTAAAACAAAATATAGTTATTATATCTTTTTATAGGATATTTCACGTTTCTAATATGACTAATTAAAGTTTTTCAATAACAATATATTAAAAATATTAAATTAATTTGTTAATAAATTGTTAGGTATTGCATAACGCGGGCCTTTTATTGAAATATAGCTTAATAGAAACTAATGATGTGAAATAAGTCTATCAATAAAACATATTATATAATGAAAAAAGATATATACTTGTATATCTATTTTAATTTAAATTAAATGGTGTTGTTATCCAAATAAGAAACATTATATTTATAAAACGTAATTGAAGTTTTCTTTTACATAGAGAATAAAAAAAATACATCGTTGTAACCTTTCATTTCTATATTCATATATATAGCAAATAAAATCTGATACAGTAACTTTTTGGGATCTTAATTGGCTTAGGTCTCATTATGTACTGAACAACTGCCAAAATATGACATTATAGAAATAAAGATCGTCACACCATTTTTTTTATGTCGCAGGGAAACTCTTTTTACGAGCCGTCCAACCGGCCTTGGTAGGGCCGGAAGGGATGTGTGAGGCTCGACCTGGGCAGGCCCCTACTCACTAAAACCACTGCGAAAGACATCGGCCGCTATGTCCGTGTACACCGGATCTGTCAGCGACAGGATACAAGATCGTCACACCAAAGAAAGTCACGAATATTTAAAAGTGTTAGTCAATTAAAAAAAATCCTGGTTATGACCTTATAACTGGTGAAATTTTGAAAAATTTTAATCGTAAAGCGATTGTTAATTAACAACTTTAATAAATATTTCTTTTCGGTTAAGGCATGTCCTCGACCTGTGGAAGATAGCTGAAATAATTATGATACCAAAACCTGACAAACCACACTAATTTCTATTCTATTTTTTATATTTATGTCAAAGATGACAAACGAGCAGACGGTCTACTTGATGGGCAGTAGTGACCGTCGCCCATGGACATACGCAACAGAGATGTTGTTGATGCGTTGTCAATATTTGTTTTTTAGAACTAGGGAAGGGTAGGAATAAGGGAATGTCAGGAAAAGGTGGGAATAGGGTAAGGGCAACCGTCTCTCTCACTCATCGGACGAAACGCAGTCATTAAAGGCTACTTCAAGCCGATCTTCTGTGAGAGGGTGGTACTTCCCCGGTCGAGCCAGCACATGTTCGAGCTATAGTAACTTGACCACAGCTAGGCTCTACCACCTCGGAAAGTATATACTACCAATTATGTCAAAATAATGAGATCTAATATTTTCGCGAGTACTAATTTAAATGAAACTAATATTTTCGGATTTTACTTCGCGCTTTATTTTTGATTATAAACTACATACTTCCGACGTTTCGGCTACTTTTCAGCAAACGTGATCACGGGCAGACGAGATGTAATTATGTCAAAATAATCCGAGAAACTTGGGGGGTTCTTGCCATAATCGCCACGCTTGGCAGGCGGGTTGGCGATCGCAGTCGGATTTAAAATGTACTCGGATGACGCTGCTGCCCGTCATCCGGTTGTTATTCCCTTAGTCGCCTCTTACGACACCCACGGGAGGAAATGGGGTGGTGACATTCTAAGCCGGCACCACCCAACATGTACAACACGACCACAAACCGGCCCCTAGTCCCCGGCGGCTCCGCTATTCCTGGTCATAGTGGTAGCGACCAAGGTAACGGCGGGGCAAGGGGTGCTAAGAATCTCCGGCAGAGATCCGGCTACCACAAACAACGACGGATCGACCTGGCAACACTAAACACGCGTACACTGCGGACCGACGAGAAGATTGTCGAACTAGAGGAAGAATTGAGCAGGTTACGATGGGGTATCCTAGGATTATCTGAAGTCCGAAGACAGGGGGAGGGCTCGATAATCCTTAAATCCGGTAACTTGCTCTATTTCCGGGAAGGCGACCTTCAGTCCCAGGGTGGTGTCGGGTTTCTCGTCCACAAGTCCCTTGTCCACAATGTAGTGAAGATCGAGAGTGTGTCGACCAGGGTGGCGCTCCTGATACTCAGAATAACCAAACGGTATTCGTTGAAGGTCATTCAGGTGTACGCCCCGACCTCGGCACACTCAGACGATGAGGTGGAAATTATGTATGATGACATCTCCAGAGCCCTACATAACTCCAGAACCCACTACAGCGTGGTCATGGGTGACTTCAATGCCAAGCTAGGAAAACGAAGCGGTGAAGAGTCACGACTGGGACATTTTGGGTTTGGAAGTCGGAATCATCGGGGCCACATGCTGGCTGGCTTCATGGAGAAGGAGGAACTCTTTATGATGAACTCCTTCTTCAAAAAGCCCGAACAGCGAAAGTGGACCTGGATCAGCCCCGACGGGGTAACCAAAAATGAGATAGACTTCATCATGTTGACAAAAAAGCACATATTCAATGATGTCTCTGTGATCAACTCGCTTAAGTGCGGCAGCGATCACCGCATGGTAAGAGGCACATTGAATCTTAATATCGTGCTCGAGAGATCTCGCTTGATGAAGCCTACTCTCCGGCCTGTACCCATCCAAATCCAAAACTGCGAAAGTTTCCAGCTTGAACTCCAAAATCGCTTCGAATGCCTAAATGGCGATGTGGACGAGTACAATGACGGGTTTGTAGAAGCTGTCCGTACGGTGGGGTCCAAGTACTTTAAGACCCGCCGTACCAATGCCACCAGAAAGCTCTCAGACTATACTCTCGAGCTCATGGAGGAAAGACGTGAGATGGTTTTCCGTTCGTCAAGTGATGCTTGTCGATACCGGCAGCTCAGCAAGCGGATCTCAAAGTCTCTTAAGCGCGATCTGCGTCGGTATAATACCGAACATATCAAAGATGCTATAGAGCGGAACAGAGACTTCAAAGCTTTTGCAAGAGATCTGACTGCTGGACATAGCCGGTTAAACAAGCTGAAGACTGACGATGGCAGAATCATATCGTCGAGGCCTGAGCTTTTGAGGGAAGTCGAGACTTTCTATAGACGGCTATACACTTACACAAGAGAGCCCGCTTCCAATCTCGCTGACGACCCAAGAGCGAGATTAACCCGACATTACTCCGAAGATATCCCGGACGTCAGCTTGCACGAGATTCGAATGGCTCTCAAACAGCTTAAAAACAACAGGGCACCGGGTGATGATGGAATAACGGCCGAGCTACTGAAGGCGGGTGGAGAACCGATCCTTAGGGCCCTTCAGAAATTGTTTAATTCCGTCATACTCGAAGGACAAACGCCACAAGCGTGGCACAGAAGTGTGGTGGTATTGTTTTTCAAAAAGGGTGATAACACCCTGCTGAAAAACTACAGACCCATCTCACTTCTGAGTCATGTCTACAAGCTGTTTTCGAGAGTCCTAACGAATCGCCTTGCACGCAGGTTAGACGACTTCCAGCCTCCCGAACAAGCCGGTTTCCGAAAAGGCTTTAGTGTAGTAGACCACATACATACGCTGCGGCAGGTTATACAGAAGACCGAGGAGTATAATCTACCTCTTTGCTTGGCGTTTGTGGACTATGAAAAAGCCTTTGATTCGATCGAGACCTGGGCTGTACTGCAGTCTCTCCAGCGGTGCCAAGTAGACTACCGGTATATTGAAGCGCTGAAGGGTTTGTACGAAAACGCCACCATGTCAGTCCGATTACAGGATCAGACCTCGAAACCAATACCTCTGCAGCGTGGTGTCAGACAAGGGGATGTTATCTCCCCAAAACTGTTCACCGCTGCATTGGAGGACGTCTTCAAGGTTCTGGACTGGAAAGGACTTGGCATCAACATAAATGGCGAGTACTTATCACACCTTCGGTTTGCTGATGATATCGTAGTCATGGCTGAGACCGTGAAGGACCTGAGTACAATGCTCGATGATCTCAATAGAGCCTCCGAACGAGTTGGTCTTAAGATGAACATGGAGAAGACGAAAATCATGTCTAATGTCCATGTTGTACCGACTCCTATTAAGATCGGAGGCTCTACGCTCGAAGTTGTTGACAGCTACGTATACCTGGGACAAACGGTCCAGTTAGGTAAGTCCAACTTCGAGAAAGAGGTCAATCGTCGAATCCAACTCGGCTGGGCTGCTTTCGGGAAGCTACGCAGAATCTTCTCGTCCAGAATACCGCAGTGTCTCAAGACAAAAGTATTCGACCAGTGTGTGTTGCCAGTGCTAACATACGGCACTGAGACGTGGCCGCTCACGATGGGCCTTATTAGAAAGCTCAAGGTCACTCAAAGGGCAATGGAGAGGGCTATGCTCGGAGTTTCACTGCGTGATCAAATCAGGAATGAGGAGATCCGCAGAAGAACGGGAGTCACCGACATAGCCCGAAGAATTGCAGTACTTAAGTGGCAGTGGGCAGGGCACATCGCTCGTAGAACCGATGCCCGATGGGGCCAACGGGTTCTTGAGTGGCGACCACGAGCCGGAAGACGCAGTGTGGGTAGGCCCCCAACAAGGTGGTCCGACGACCTGGTGAAGGTCGCGGGAATCCGCTGGATGCGGGTGGCACAAGACCGGTCGTCGTGGAGATCCTTGGGGGAGGCCTATGTCCTGCAGTGGACGTCTTTTGGCTGATGATGATGATGAATCCGAGAAACTATTGCTAAAAAGACTAAAACCAGTAATATTATTCCTGACCATAAATTTGGTTTTAGAGAAAAGCATTAAACAATTGATCAGATACATAGAATAACTAACTATAAAGAAAAAGCGCTTGAGGAAAAAAAGGTTTCCTCTACCACATGTAGCTCAAGTCTTTGATAAAGTTTGGCATGAAGGACTCATATACAAAATAAATTAATGCAAAAGCAACAATATGTTGAGATTCTTGAGTCTTATTTACTGAATAGGGTATTTTGAAATATTTTCCTATTCACAAATATCTCCAAAATAAATGCAGTGATAAGTGCCGCGTATTAAGAACACATGTACAAAGTGTCTTCGCCTTAACAAAGACTGAGCACGTGTTACTGAACACATTCCTAGAACATAATATGTTAATGTAGTTATTTAGGTCAAAATTTACTAATAAGCCAGGCTAGATTATAAATTGAAGAGTATTGTATACTTTAATAGGAAAAAAACTCCAAGTTTGCGTGTCCACACTTAACACTATGTGAGTGGTAGCCGTTAAAAACGGGCGCAGGTTCGATCCTGGCAAGTACCAATGTGATTTTTTCGAGTCATATGTACTTTATAAGAGTATTTAGACATCACTCATTAATGCATTCCCAAAGAGGGTTGATGTCAGGCAGGCGGCCGGTCGTAAAAACAATTAGCCAAAACTATTTACAACATGTAAGGCAGACCCTGGCTAAAGCTGGGAAATTGCCAGGTAGAAGAAGACAACATTATAGTAAAAGTTTTTCATACTCGTAGATTATATAATAAAACGAAAACTTGTACTAAGGATAATTATATCTTAAAAGCCTATTACGTAAAGACATATAGTTATATATATTATAAATTTATAACAAATACCATTGTTAGAAATATATTATTATAAATGTTTTGATAATAAAGACGATCATTATAGGAATAATAGATTACATCGCGGCAACCATTTTAAGTCACATCTGAACTGTCAATGACAACGAACGTGTCATATGATGGAGTTTATTTTTTTCTTTTTAATTTTTACGTTAGATTCATGTGTGGCCAGTTACCATGAACAGTATAGAGGTAATGTATAAAGGAGATTTTATATTATGTTAAATTAATTTGACGAAAATATAAGCTTCAATACAACGTATATTAATGTTTTAATTTTAAAAATAAATATAGAGAATTTATTTTTAGTTTGCCATTTACCTCCAAGGGACAGTCACAAAATTTTGTTTTAGTTTTCGATCTTACAAAAAATATATTTAATTGATTACAAAACTTCGTATCTCACTGTACATACTACATACTTATTGTTTACATTTAATATAATTAAAATTAACGTATCTGTGTATTTGTATCTATACAATAGATGTAATATACAGTTTCAAGTACCCCACTAGAGGGGTGGCATGCGCTCGGCAGTGTCACGACTAGCGCGGAGCAGAACGGGGACGTGCGCCTGCGCTCTAGGAGGGGGTAGTAGGGAGACAGTGACTAGTTATTATTACATAGAAGACCCGAGGGTCCTACAGTATGCATTGTATAAAGTTTTCCAAAAAGTTATACACACTGTTCTTACTAGTAATTAATATTATATTCTATTTTACTTTTTAATTAATGTTTCAGTTCCCATCGCATCATCAGATACTTGGGAGTCGTATATATTTAACGGGAAGGAGTATTTGATACAGAATTTACCAGTAAATTGGGAGAATGCGAAACTTATATGTCAGTAAGTAACAAAAAATATCTATTAATATAATTTAATTATATGGTATCTATATTTATATTTGTAAATCAATATACAGGGTGACTGTTGAATAACTATCAATATTTAAGGAGCATACTCGGTACATGATTCTCATTCGAATTATGTAAAAAAAATAGGTACTTAATTTTTGATCAAATTTCCGTATAAATAAATAAAGTGTTGACACGTTCCAAGTGTTCCAAGTGTGGACGCGTGCGGCGGCGTGCTGATACAACACCACGCCGCCGCCCGCGTATGTGTGTGTGTGTGTGTATACCTAATCTGTAGGGTGTTCACACGATGCGTAATAAATTACATAACTTTTGGGTAACTTTACTTAGAAGTTTATTAATATTTATGTTATATTAATTTTTATTTTGTCATATATGATCGTCAAATATCACGTCCTCAAATATCGATAGTAATTCACCAGTCACCCTGTATATTATAGAATTTTTATATAACAAATTTAACCGTAATTTTTGAGTTATTTCTTCCACTGGCAACATTTATACAGTTTATATATAATGTTGCCAGTTATAGGTTGCCTTATATTCAAAAATTCCATGTATTCACGGTGCGTGTGTCGGGTCCATCGTTACAGGGAGAGGAGCTTCAACAGTGACTGGGACTTGCGACCCAGGTGTAGGTTTAACGGGCCGTATCTAACGCACGTTAAACGATCACCTCCACCGTACAAACTCCTCTCTCTTCCAAACAATATATATATTTACAGTGGCCAGTTGTTGCAGGAATGGCAGTAGTTTTAGAATTTAAGTAATGTACAGTATTTATGTAGTAAGAATACAATAAAAAAGCAGAGTTATTACTTTCAGAGGTCACCACAACGGCTCGCTAGCTGTTCTCGACACGAGAGAAAAAGCCGAATTCATGGCGGAAGCTTTGTCAGAATTACAGTTCTGTAAGATATAAAAAATATATCATAATATATAATTTGTACCAAGAGCAATGCTAAACTAATTATTTTATCTTTTGCGTTTATATTGTTTTTCAAAAAAATTGTTGAACAAAAAGATAAAACGAATGGATAAAAATAGACTTCAAACATTAATAAAGTTAAAACGATTAAAATATATCACTCACGAAAGATTATTATCCAGTACTAGGTAACATTATAATGAGATCTAAGATTTTCGAATGTTTTATTCATTTAAATGAAACTAAAATGTTTCGGATGTACTACGCGATAAAAAAACTATGTACATACTCCCGACGCGACAGTTCGGCTACTTTACAGCAACTGTGTTCATTTTTACTGTAAAGTATTAGTTTCGTTTAAGTAATATTATGTGTATAATAAAACACGCGTAGTTATAAATAGTAGTTTCATTTAAATGAATACTCGTAAGTCTTAGATCTCATTAACTAATTAATTCGTATATTTATTTTCCAGCTGTTGATTCAGTGTGGGTCGGAGCCAGGCGAGCTTCTAGCGAAGATCCTGAAGGATACCGCTGGATACAAGGTAGAATTGATAATATGTGTGTATGTTGTTACGACTAAATGATTAAACTCATTATATATTATATTCTTTATAACTATATATACATATATATAAATACAACCTCTTTTACCTTTAATACATATATGTTTTATATATGTAATGAAATTTCATTAAATTCAAATTTGCCGCGCTTCGCGCGTTTTTAACTTGTCGACCACAGGCTGTCACTATTCACTAATGGCGAATTATGTTAAAGTTTTTGTGCACTTTATGATTATTAAAACGTGTAGAGATAAACTAAGGGATATAATTGAGGAGGTAATATTAGTGTTCTTTAATGTCTTTCTTTGTATTTTCAGAGAAACAAATTGTGGTTTTCTTTGAATGCCCTTGATAATATTCCTTATATGTATTTTTAAGTACTACACTTAAATATAAACAAATTATATAGGTTTGTAACCGGAGGTTCCAGGGAAACTACGAAATTTACTTGTATGTATATTATAATAAGAACTACATATTAAAACTTATAACCTATACCTAAGACTACATGATTGACCCGATGTTAGTATATCAATACCATTCCATAGCTTGTGTGTATCAGGAATCTTCTGGTTCACACGGCTTGGTGTTCGTTCCGCGGAGTCAGCGGCCTCAAGAGTTATATATTTTATCTATACAACGATGTCGCCCCGGCGATGTTCATGTAACAAACATCTAAACAGAGTATTTTAACGATACCAAATTACTTATATTAAAAGTAAGAATAACATATATTATATTATTTACAAGGTGTGGAGCTCAAGAGAACAGCCTCGGACGTACTCAACAACGAGGCTGATGATTACAACAGACACTATCCTATGGTGAGTGGGAATATTCTAGAAACATCTAACAAAATCTGCGTTCACTAAAGACTACTCATGATAGGTTTAAATTAGAAGCTACATACTCGTTATTATAAAATTTGAATTTAGAATGCAAACTAGATACTTAAATAATAATAAAAATAATAATAAAACAGTTTTGCAATATTTGAATTTCGAATGTATATCGTTATACAAATAATAATTAAACAGATTTGAATATTTGAATTTAGAATACATTCTCGTTACTTAAATAACAATGAAAGAAATTTCACTATTTGAATTTCGAATGTATATCGTTATTCACATAATAATTAAACAGATTTGAATATTTGAATTTAGAATGCATCCCGTTATTCAAATAATAATTCGGCAGTGGTTGAACCGTATCCACATCCCGGTGCCGCCGGGCGGAGCGGACTGCGTGGCCCTGGAGAGGGTGCACCACGATGTACCGGTGTTCATGGACCTGCCGTGTGACTTGAAACGAGCGTTCGTCTGTATGAGAGGTGATATATATAATAATTATAGTGAAAATATTACGGACTTAGATGAATTTGGTAATTAAAATCATTGATTAAACGATAATAAGCTATTTGAAAATGGAGCGAACGCCAATAATGTAGGAACAATTGAAATTAAAAAATGTAACTGTGGGGGGTAACTTGAAGGTTACTTATATTATTACTTTTGATTAAGAATAAGCCTTAAAGGCCAAAAATAGCAATAAAATCATAATTTTTGCGGCCCTAACTCTGGTAAATCCAAATGTAAGTGATTTATTAGATAATGCCACTTTTAATAAGTAACAGATTATAAATAGTTCAATGTGGATCTCGGAAAGGAAAATAAATATTTATATTAAATTATCTACATACGTCATACAAAGTAATATTAGAAAGAAATAAGTATTAACAATTTACGTACTAAATTTATAATAATATTTAAAACTATTATAAAACAAAACTTACAAACATACATGTCACTGAAATTTCTTCTACGTTGACGTTTGATTTGCGACAGTTGAAATATTAAAAACTGTCTAGCAATTTATTAATTATAATATATAATGTTGCTAGTCTTAAATTATGAAATTAAGTAACTTAAATTTCAAATCATAGTTTCAACCGAATCTGACATTGGGAAAAAAAATATTTTCTGCTCTATATATATAAATCACGAGCTTTTTATTTCTCTCTTGCCATTTCATAATGAATAGATATTTCAATAACACCTCTAGCACGGGATAGGTTAGTCATTTTAAAGGCGGAACGTTTTATAATTTTTATTTGAAAAAATACATTCTTCGCTCGAAGAAAAGCTCTCAGTACAAGTTGAGTGAAGGTACCTCAGCCTTTAATAACAAACTGTTGTTCTTGGACATAATATTGGAATTGGTTGTCCGATTTAATTTATTTTTTATACAAAGCACCAAAGATATCGGACAAATAACTTCGACTCGAATGTACAATCGGTTGCCGATATCATCTCTTTGAATGAATGACCTGAGTCCTCAGTATAGCGTTCACTCACTCACTCAATTATACTCACCCTAAATATGAAAGTAAAGCAACTACACATAGAAAATACTTAGGTAAGAGGCATTATTAATATAAATAAGAGCCATAACGTATAAATAAAACTAATATTTTTCGGATATACCACACGACTCAGAAAGAAAGACAATAAAAATAGATTCGCGTCGAAGTCAGCAGTAAACATACATTCGACCAACCAGGCCACAACATTCGGTTTGATAAACCACATATCCTCGCTTGTGAAGATAGGTTCAAACCGAGGTTAATCCGCGAGGCTATTGAAATTAAAAAATACCCCAATTTCAATAGAAAAAATGAGTGGAATCTATCAAACACCTTGGACCCCTCATTAAAAATATAAATTCCCATGCCCGTGACCACACCACAGGATCTTGAGAAATCGTAAGCTCATTCTGCTGGCATCCAGAGCGGTACGCTAGAAAATTAATAAATCGATGGCGGTAGGAGATAAAATAACAAGACCAACTGACAGACAATCACATATCGTCTTTATGATCACGGTTGATGAAAAGTAACAAAAACGTCGGGAGTATGTAGTTTTTTTACAAAAATACAGCACACGTAGTATATACGAAAAATATTAGTTTCATTTAAATGAATAAGCAAAAATATTAGATCTCATTAAGCCATAATATAATATATCTTAAATTCAAACCGATTCTTCATCAGATGCTCACGTGGATGTCAAGATACGAAGAGTTGGAAGTGTTCGTTGCAGTACAGGATCTTACCAGCTCTTCAATGGAAGATTGGACTGGAAGCAAGCGGCGGCGTACTGTGTGTTAAGAGATATGGCGTGAGTTATTATACAGGAATACTTTTACAGTTTTTCATTCATAGATCACCACACAGTATATTGTTTTGAAATGGGAGCAAATGGTATGCCAGCTAAATCTCTCTATAACCTACTAAAAGACTTGGGCTTGTCCAGAACTCATATCAATTCATTCTTGGAACGTACTTTTAAGTCAGCCCTAGTAGGTTTTTTTAAAATTTGGTTAGAGAGGAGCTTGTACGGCGGAGGTGATCGTTTAACGTTAGATAGGGTCCCTTAAACCTACACCCGGGTCACAAGTCACAGTCACTGTTGAAGCTCCTCTCACTACAACGATGGACCCGACACACGCACCGTGAATACATTGAATGATGAGAGGTTTCTCTAAATGAGGTTATTGAATGAGACGACAAACGCTCCGTGTGTAGTGAGTATTTTAACTCGGACTAAGCACACTGTTTATGTTTCAGGTTAGCCAACGTGGCGTCGGAGCGATGTCTTAGGAAACTCGGCTTGGCGATGTTGAAATCACGTCCAAGTAAGTTAATATATTAATGACACTAAATATTTTAATAAAATCTTAATAATTAATATATATAAGTAGTTAAACAATGTTTGCCTGAAAAGTATTTAAAACCCATAATCACTAATTTGATTACTGTTGACCTTCAGATGAACTTAAAATTAATATTACCTTCATATTACATTTCATGTATACAATATTGAGATAGCAATTATCATGTATATATGTATGTTAGCTACACTATAACTCTTGAACCGATTACTATAAGTCTGACTCTATAGAATATAGCATAGTAGGTATACTTACGTAGCCACTATACTTATATATTGTATATATAATTAAATGTCTAACATATAGAATTATCAGGCTAATACCAAAAAAAAAATAAACTATAATTTAAAATTCATAAAAAATCGCAAGCGGTGATTCAATGCGGCCTATTTTTCTATTTTTTTCTTTATACGAACATCAAAATTCGATTTCGCTGTTATACATATACAATACTTAATTCACCCACCAGATATAATGTACATTGTTTATTAGCTTAACTGGAAAAATTATCGATAAATTTTCTATACTATATATATTTTTATTAATATCATAGTTTTAACCTTATCTTAAAACATTATTTTAATAACCATATATTAAGAGATGTTATTAACAGCTATAGTCCATTCTTTATATTCCACCAGGTGTAGAAAGCGCGTGGATTGGAGGGAGAGGCTCGCTTGGTAATTGGTCCTGGATAGATAGCGGGGTCAGTGTGTTCAATCCCGGGTCGAACAACGTGTCACAATGGCCGCCTATGAGGTATATACTATATTATATATATGTAATTATCGATACATATGTTTACATAGTTATTTAAGGTGTTAAACCTGTTTTATATTTTTATCCCTACTAATATTATAAATGCGAAAGTAATTCTGTCTGTCTGTCTGTTACGCTTTCACGCCTAAACCACTGAACTGATTTTAATGAAATTTGGTACAGACATAGAGTTGACCTTGAGAAAGAATATAGGATAGTTTTTATCCCAGACTTTTGAAAGGTTCTCTTGGAAACGCGATATAACCGAACTTCACGCGGGTGAAGCTGCGGACGGAAAGCTAGTATAAAATAAAATTGAAAGTTGAATTCAGTTTTTAGGTAAACGGAAACTCATGTTAGGATTGTTTGTTTGTAATTGAGGGTATTCTTGAAATAGGCAAAAGTATAAACAAAAAATTATTTATTATGTTTCCGAAATCAAGTGCTTAGATTAAAGACAATACTATAAAATTTTATTTAATTTCGCGTTACAGAGACAGAAAAATGATAAAACAAAATGGCTGTTTACAAATTGATAGACATGAAACTAGATCACCGGTGTTCTTGGAAGCTCGCTGCGAGAGAAAAATGCAGTTTATATGTTACAAAGGTTGTATATTATATATAACACACACACACACATACACACACACACATTTATAACACTCCTTATACTTTCACCAAATTTCAAAACCATACTATTTAATCTTCTATATATATAAAAATGGATTGCTGTTCCTTAGTCTCGCTAAAACTCGAGAACGACTGAACGGATTTATCTTATCTTAGTCTTGAAGAGTTCGTGGAGGTTCAGGGAAGGTTTAAAAGCTGAAGTTTTTTTATTAATTTCCGAGAAAACCCTAAAAACAGCGCTTTTTATTTCCAATACAAACGGCTTTTTGACATTAGATTTGACAACTAACTAATATGTCAATCATTTTGTCGCACTTCAGAACACGGAGATTTATGGTTTAAAGGTAAACACCAAGAAAATAAATAAGAAATAATCTTTTTCTTGATTGAGGCAGTACGAAGTCTGCCGGGTCAGCTAGTTATCAATACAATCCTAAGTCCTAACTAATCCTATCATATTTTATACATTAATTCTAACTAAATTACTCCATAAATACTAATATATATTATGAACTAGGTACGCTACCACCTCAACCATCACAAGCGGATGATATCTATCATTACGTGGTGGTGCGCCAGTCATTATTCTGGCAGCACGCGTACGACAACTGCGTCACCCTGAACGGCTCGTTGGCCACTGTCGATAGTAACGACGTGCTCATACAGCTCTTGCTGTCAATGGGGGAGAGTGGGGATACACGTGAGTTTTTTTTATTTAAAGTGATCTGGCCAGTTTTATACAGCTTCGACGAAGGAGGTTTCATATTTAAATGTTATTTGGGATAGCTTGTAGTCCGGGCGCTGGAGGGAGTTGAGTATGCAAAATATGAGGACCGCATTCCATGAATGGTTATGAACTCAGAAAAGCATGCTGATTATGATTCTGGATGTTGCCAGGAGCCATATTGGTCCAATTTTTTTTTACACAGACAACAAATTCTTCATCGTTGGATTTTGTACAAAAAGCTCTAAAGCATTTGGGAAGTCCATACCTAAGTGTTGAACAACTAAAAGAGTTGAAAAACATTGGAACCTATCTTTTTCAAATAAAACTTAACAGCTGATGAACTTCGGTATAAGTTAATTTCCCAAAATAACGGTTTCGGCTTAAATTTATTAAAAGTTATTTGCACATCAGATGCTCAACATTTACATCTATTAAGAGCTTCAGCAAAAACATATGTATGAATAAATTAATTAATAAATTGATTACACCTTCTTAGGCTATGATAGGAAGGATGGTAAATTGTATCCACGACAAATGACCAAGCAACCACGGCCGAAATTATTAATTCAACCGTGTAAATGAGCATGCAATTGTATAAAGATGGCTTCCTCTTCTTAAAAATTACAAATTTATTGTATTTAATTATGAAAATGCATAAATAACGATTGTCAGGATAAAAAGATTGATAATAATTATTATTTTTCCATTAAAATTTGATTTTTTGAGTATTTTTTTTTTTTGTATTAATAATAATTGTTTTTATTTTTAATTTTCCTATTGTTTTTTCATTTGACTAGCTGTGAGTATCTTTAATCATCAAAATCAATTGGATATTCTCACTAAAACAATCGTTATATCAAAGTATGTGTTCAGGCCATTTACTAGATGTCTAAGGAGGTGGGGTGTAAAAAAAATTGGACCAATATGGCTCCTGGCAACATCCAGAATCATAATCAGCATGCTTTTCTGAGTTCATAACCATTCACAGAATGCGGTCCTCATATTTTGCATACTCAACTCATAGTTTCCGACTTTTAAGTCGCAAATATTAGGAAAAAATAATAATAATGTTATACCACCTCGAATTATTATTGCACTAAGTACAGTTGTCAGATTTTTTATAAAAATCATAAAATATTACGTCCAATAGAATTTTATTGCTAAGAATGTTTGATATTTGTAAATTTTTCTTTCTTTTCGTATCAATACATTATTCATTATATTATTGATTTGATATTCAATTCTAGTATTTCAAATCACATTCACATTATAAAACAATAATACATATACATAAAATCCTGTATAATATATACCAATAAAAATATATTTATAATAATATTATATATTCATATTACAGCTGTCGAGCACGTGTGGATATCCGGTCGCCTGAACATGTCGCGAGATGTCGCCACCGACGTCACATCCTACACCTGGTACAACCCCACCACCGGGAAAAAGATCCCCGACCCCAAGAATGGTGACAATACTGGCTTATATGTACGTTACATATCTATTAAACTAATTGTAAGGCTTGATTAGCATTGGAATAGAAGAATATTTTGCCAATATCAACGTTTTTATTTGTTGGACGAAATATCTTGAGTATTATGTGGAGGAAACACGGAGGAATTTGTCGAATAGAATAGAAAGTTCTAGTTATATTTTTAAGTAAGTTTCATAAAGAAATACATTTAAACATGTTATAACTTATTTCATATAAATCTAATCAACGATCGGATACTCGTACAAAACAGATTCATAAAAAAATAATCTTTTTTATGCACACAGTAACAGAGAGATGGATATTTTAATATAATAGATTATTTTTTAATGGTAATTAACAACTCAAGCTATATTGAATCTTCACATAAAACCTGTGTATAGAGTTAGTAACCTATTATAAATAGTACTAGTTCTTGTCTGCGACTTCGTCCGCGTTAATTTCGGAACTAGTAATATACGCCATAGAGGCCCTAAATAACCAAATATTGCAATTCTTTCCTCTTTCTATCGAACAGAATTATATATCCTATGTCCGTCTCCTGGTTCTCATCTATGTCTCAACCAATGTTCATCCATATCCGTACAGCCGTTCTTGAGTTATAAATAGTGTAACTAACATTACTTTGTTTTATATATATTTGTATCATATTAATTCCAGATGCCGCCCTGGTTGGATGACGAGTTCACGATGGACAGTCCGTGTCTCAACCTGGACCGTCAGGATCACCTCAACGGGCTGGTGTACGGCCTCCCGTGCGACACTCCACAGTACTCAATATGTATGATAGGTGTGTACTGTCTATAAGAACGTATACTGTCATTTGGTGACATTAGTTGATTGGTTCTTTTAAACATCAACATATACTAATGTACATGCCGTACGCGTATAATCTGCAGTAATTTTTTGGTTTGAGTGAGAGAGATGGCCTATGCTTTCGGTCTAGCACTCTCTCATTCCTCATAGATGATTGGCGCTCAGTCAGTACGGTACTATTTTGAGAGCGATAAAGATAGACCGAAACCTCGTTTCCTCTCTTTCTTTCGGAGTGCCACAATTCTCATCTCTAAGGCATGTCCATTACTATAAGTCGATGTCGAAAACTGTTCAGAATATCGATAGTATCGTCACATTTTAATACAATCGATATTATCGATGGCATATCTTAAACAATACTATTTAACGTGCTAATGCTATCGATTGTCACACCTTCAATACTATCGATAGTATCGCAAAATTTGCTATTTTAACCCAAAAACTATCGATATCGATATTTCTGAACTATCGATTGTCAGGAATTATGTAAAAGTATTTCAAGATCACGAATAAAACGTTATTTAACCCACAATACAATTTATATACATCATTGGAATGTTCTTATTTTATATTTTTTTATTATAGTAAAGTAAATAAAACAGTCAAATTGTTTGAAATTGTGTAAGGATACACAAACATAAATTTATTTTAATGTATTACACCTAAAAGATAACTATTTGAACAGTTTACATACTTTTAAAAAATTATATATTATACACATCATTGTAAGATGTATTAGCAAAAATATTAGATTTTCCTTATTAATTTCATTCATATATATTTTTATTGTTTACAGAGAAATCAGCCACAAGATCATCCCCTCAAGTTGCGAGTGATGGATATGAAACAACTTAAATATATACACATACATAACTTAGCCTGTGACTTTGTCCTTCAACTATCTATGTTTATTATTTATATTTATAAATATAAATTAAATTACTGAAATAAGATTTAATTACTCCTCAATACATAAACTACCTGCTTATGAAAGTGCTATAAAAATGCATCAAAATCTTTTAGAGATCAGCTGTAACAAATATATATCATCATCATCATCATCCTATCAGATCCCACTGTTGAAAGGCCTCTTTCTCACATTGAGAAGGTTTGAGTATTAGTCACCACGCTTGCTCAAGACGGGTTGGTGATTTCAAACTTATAAATTTATATTATAAGTCCAGGTTTCCTTACAAACAAAGCAATTGTTTAATATCACAAAAAGACAATACAATCTTATATATCAATCAATACATATTATAAAACAAAGTCCCCTGCCGCATCTGTCTGTCTGTTCGCAATAAACAGGAAAAGTACTGCACCAATTAACAAGCAGTTTTTGCCATTCGTTAGCATGATTCTCGAAAAGTTTTAATATATAATTTGTTAAGGTTTTGTATTGATTTGTGTGTACATTATCGATATTTGTTGAAGATCTCGGGAATAAATTAGCAGCCTTTGAGATATCACGTCATTAATATTGCAAAATTTTTATAATAAAAAAACTATTATTAACTTAAAAACATACCGTTTTACAAAGTTCAAATTTAAAATATGTCTAAGGAAGAAGATGAAATGAAGAAAGATGATGAAATTTTTTGGTCTTCATTTAACTCAAAAAGTAAGTACGGAACGCATTAAGCTATTTTATATTTTTTGTAAAGTATCTCTGCGAATCTGGGGCGGGCACCTGGTATATATATATAAAATTAAAGAGAATGATGAAGCTTGAATATTTGAAGTCAGTGGTGGCCTAGTGGTTAAAAGGCCCACTCCTCATGCATGAGAGCGCGGGTTCGATCCTGGCAAGTACCAATGTGAATTTTTTGAGTCATATGTACTTTCAAAGAGTATTTAGACATCACTGATTAATGCATTCCCAAAGAGGCTTGATGTTGGGCAGGTGGCCGGTCAAAAAAATAATTAGCCAAAACTATTCACAACATGTAAGGTAGACCCTGGCTAAAGCTGGAAAATTGCCAGGTTGAAGAGATGAAGCTTGAATAAAAACCTATAATTCATCGACTACTGTTACTTACAAAGTATTACAATTCAATTCCTTCACTAATTGTGCTATCAGGCCTTTACTTGCATTAATAAGTTCAACTATACCTTCAAATTCTCAAAAATGAATTGCACATACATTTAATTATTTTACTTAAATAATCTTGAATGGAAGATAAATACATATGAAAAACTAACAACTGATTCATAAATAGTTTTTTCATATGTAATGTCTAATTTGATATAAGAAGTGGCTTACAAAATAACATTTTTAAATATTTTTCACAACATTTATTATATACAAGTAAAACACTGTTTTTAAACTTTACATTGAACTGTTAACTCTTTTAGATTAATTTAAAATATGATCATTTAGTTTTATAACACTAAACTAATTAATGAAACAAAGTTATTTTTACAGTACATGATCAGGCTCGCTGTAAAGAAACCAAAATATCAGAAGTAGAAACAAAATAATAAAAAAAAGCATAGTAATGAGAATAGTTCTATTAAAATGGGAGAACCCAATAATTATTATAGACATCAATACTAAATGTGAAATGTTAATACTATGTCAAAATTATTTATGTATGTTTTTTATTAATGAAAATCACTGTAATTATATGCTCTAAGTACATTTATAATATAGCCAATATAAGCAAAAGGAAATTAAAAACAAAATACAGACAATAATGTTATATTTCTAAATATATATTTACAATACACACTCAACTAAAACAAAATGTTCATTTATAAGTTTTTATGGTTCAACATGTTTATTAGACTGAAACACAACATTACAATATAATTAATTGATGTTGTTCATGTTGTTCAATGTCTCTATCCATTGAGAGTTAACTTTACTCAATAATTTCGTGTTCTCGTTAACAGCACTTAAATTCTTTCTGAATGTTTGCAAATGCTCTAGATATGCTCGTAGAGTACTGTTAAAAGCCCGAACTGACTCCAATTCTTGCATCAGTTCCACTGTTTCTTTCTAAAACAAAGAATGTAGTACAGTTTTCACCAATAATTACTTTTTTTTCATATTTTATAACATTTATAAAGAGTGGCAGTCCTTAAATTAAAATATGGGCAAGAACTCTTAACTCTTGTGCAGGCCTATGCACGTACTGAGCAAGCTTCCGAAGAAAAGACTGACAAATTTTACGACGATTTAAGAAAGGCACAAGAGAATGAAGACCGAAGTGTATTTGTTATGGGAGATTTCAATGCTAGAGTAGGACAACCAAAAAAATACGAAAAAATTATAATGGGACAATATAATGAACACCTATTTTAAAAAGGATGCAGAACGCAGATGGACCTGGATATCTCCAGACCAAAAAACGGAAATGATTACATTATGTGCAACAAACCAAAGCAAATAACTAACATAGAAGTCCTACTAAGCAGTGGCAGCTGTACCTTAAGTGCACTCGTGCGCTGAACCACCAATTCAAAAGATTTAAAAATTACAAAATATTACTTCATCTTTATTTTTAAATTAACATTTTAATATTTATTTTTTAAACATACAAAAACGTATAAACAATTAAATTTCCTAATTATGATCAAAAAGTTTGAGCGCTTTACTAAACTCATATCGTGCGCTTCGGTGAGTGCACGAGGACTGCTAATACATGTTGTATGAGATACGCATTATACGCCTGACGCGTGAAACAAAAGATAGTTCATAGAAATGTACCGAGTAACGAGTCGGTTTCCCGAGCGCCGCACGAGCGGCCGAAGATTACCGAGAGCACCCGATGTATGACGAATTGAGCCGTTTTTGACATTTCGTTGTGTTTTGTTGCATTTTCTAATTTTAATATTTTAGTTAAGTGCACCACCAGTTCTATTACCCACCAGCCGCCACTGCTACTAAGATCATACTTTAGCTTGAAATCATTAAAGAAAAGCAGAAAAACTTACAGCTCATTAACTAGAACACCAAAAACTGACGATGAAAAGTTATTGTATTTAACAAGCCTTAACGAAAACCTAGACATACAATTCTGTGTACCACCTGAAGAAAACAATGTACAAAATTACTACAATAAAATGGAACATGCAATTACAAGCAGCCTAAAAATTAAAAAAAAAAATTAAATATAACAATTCCAAAGATGAGACAAAAATCTTAAGCAGAGCAACAGAAGACTTAATGGATAAACGATTCAAACTTATACAGACCAAACACAAAACCAAAGAAATGAAAGAAGAGTTAAAGAATCTGTTCAAGATGTGCAACAAGGCTATAAGAAATGATTACAGTAAGTACAAAAGAGAAGTCGTAGAGAGAAATTTAAATAAATATAGAAGTTCCAAAAGAGCGTATAAAGAATTAATGATACACAGAACCTGGATAGGAAAACTCAAAAAATCATTTGGAGAAACGAAAACAAGACAAGAGGTAATCAACCATGCCACGAAGTTTTACAAGGAGCTGTATAAGAAAAGTTCGGAAACAAATGAGACAGAAGACAGTCACAGAGATTTTGAAAAGGACGAAGAAACAGTAAAACCTATTAATGAATGCGAAGTTTTTGAACATATCAAAAAACTCAAAACAGAGAAAAGTCCAGGTCCGGACAACATCTCAAATGAAATTTTAAAAATTGGATCACCCCTTCTGCTATCACATCTAACACAAGTTTTTAACTTATCCCTCCAAACAAAAAAGGTCCCCAAGCAATGGTGAAATTCCGATATAGTTCTGCTATAAAAAAAAGGAGATCCACTGGACATTGGAAACTACAGACCAATTAGTCTATTGCCGAGTATTTATAAACTTTTCACAACAATACTCTTGAGCAGAATCACACCAATCATAGATGCAGCACAACCAATCGAACAAGCTGGCTTCCGCTCAGAATTCTCAACAATAGATGACATCCACACCTTGGAACAAATACTAGAAATATATAAAGAATTCAATCAACCTCTCTATGTGGCTTATGTGGACTACACAAAGGCATTTGATACCATAACTCATACCTCTATCTGAAAAGCCCTCAATGCCTGCGGTGTAAGTAAGACATACATCAACATCATAAAAAACATCTATTCTCAAAGTACAAGCAGAATCAAAATGGAAAATAAAGGAGAACAGATTGCAATAGAGAAAGGTGTCAAACAAGGGGATCCTCTATCACCCAAACTCTTTATAGCAGTACTGGAATGTGTCTTCAGAAACCTTGATTGAAGCCAGAATCACCTATGTGTATTAGGGCACCACCTTAATCATCTGAGATTTGCAGACGATATAATTTTGTTTGCCAAATCTGACAAAGAACTAGAAGGAATGATGCAATCTCTTGCATATGAAAGTACAAAATGTGGTCTACAAATGAACACAAACAAGACTAAGGTGATAACAAACAGCATACAAAGACCTGTAAAGGTATTTGGGCAACTGATTGATTAAAAGAATATGTGTACCTCGGAAAACAAGTATCATTCAACAAAAACAGCAATGAAGAGGAAGTAAACAGAAGGATCAATAGCACATGGAAGAAGTATTGGCTACATAAGGATATTTTGAAGCGAGGATTGTCATGGAAACTTGTATACTTCCAAGCATAACTGATGGCAGCCAAACATGGACATTTATGAAAGAAATAAAAAGTAAAATCAAAACATGCCAACGATCAATGGAACGAAGCATGTTTAAAATAAGAAAAATACAAAAAAACTCGCAGTGAAGACATAAGGAGTAAAACCAGGCTTACAGCTCTTGAACAAGCTTTGCGACTTAAGTGGAAATGGTCTGGACACTTGTCGAGATACACAGAGAAGAGATGGTCTCTACAAACTACCAAATGGGCAGGGCCTGTTGGAAAAAGAAGCAGAGGTAGACCACTTAAACGTTGGGCTGACGATATAAAAGAATTAGCAGGCAAAAACTGGTTGACAATTTCCCGAAATAGGGACAAATGGAAGGAATTAGAGGAGGCTTTTACCCGAAAGGGTTTCGTGTAAAGGAACAAATAGAAATATATTATATAATGAATACATTTATAAACTAACCTAGTTATAAGGAATCTACTAACACTTGGTACTGTAACATACTTTACACTGAAATAAAAATAAAAAAGCTTTATTATTATTATTAGTACTTCATCGTTACCTCTCTTTTTGATGATGTGACTGATACACTAGACATTATGGTGATACTAATTTAATTTATCATTAATTTATAATGTACATTACATTTATAACTTCAAGTATCATTAAATATCAAAACGATTTGTGTTTGAGTTAACGGACATTGGTACTTTATAAACTTTTGTAATTAAATTTTTGACATTAAGATTTACGTTCAGAAATTTTAATAAATTCAATGCAAGAATGGCTTATAACAATAAATTGTTTTTTTTTTGTTTTTTTTTTAGTTAACATTTTAACTTACTCAGTTACTTAATTATTTTAGATTCATTTATAAAACTTCAGTGATGAACTAAAAATAGTTTTGATTTCAATAATTCTATACAATCCCTTTAAAATAAATATATAAATATGATTTTTATCATCCATAGGAAAAACAAAAACAATTCAAGTTTGATATGTATGCATAACTTATTTCATGCTCCATTTTTCTTTAAAACTTGCTTCTGAGAATTTTTCAGTTCAAGTTTTTGATTTGCTTCAGGATTAGTCTTCTGAATAATATCGCAAGAATTTAAAAACAACGTAGCTCTTTCTATTTCTTCACAAAGATACTATGTTATAAATAAATGTTAGAAACGAATTCCAATACAATATTAAACGTTAAACAATCATCAGAAACATTTTGGGGATAAAGAGCTCAAAGTATTCTAAAGGTTACAAAATCGTAAAAACTTTTCGTTTAGAGCCCTTCTTAAAAGAAATAAAGATTTAATTTCCTATATTTTTATTTTTGTTTGAAGAATTATGCTGATATTTTACCATCATTTCGGACTAAAATGTATACACTCTTAGACGTGTGTATATATTATGAGAACATTCAAATATATTTTATACATTCACTATCAGATAAAAGCAAATTCATTACTAAAATCAAATTGACTCTAGCTCGCTTTATATAAAATAAACATACTTTATCGATTTTCGTTGCAATAATTAAACGCATGCGCGTTCAGAGTCTTCCAGCGCCATCTAAGTTTCTGCTATTCTCTAATGAAACGCCGCCATTTTGACATTTGTTTGGCTTTGTGTTTTTCAATTTGTAATTTATCATTTATTTACGTGATAACTGTGCATCGTTTACATAATTTTGTGTGATGTTTAGTGTACTATAGAGTCTTATAAGAGAATATATAATAATAAGTGAAAGTGGATTCGTATTAGTGGCGCATCAATCAATAGTGTGTTGGCGCCGATTTTTTTATTTTTCGTATGTAGTCTAACTATAGTTATCCTAATACTGCTGCGTTTATATTGAATAAAAACTAAAAATATTGAATTTTAAGCATTTCCATAGAGTAATTTGTGTGTGACATTAACAATAATTGTAAAAAATTGTTGTGAAAAAAAGGCGCGAAGTATTTTGCCGCGTCTAAGTTTAATATCGAATAACTATATTTAAACTCTCGAACTCATACCTATATTACGCATTATAGGTGTATAGTGATTAAGTGGCTGTAATGAATAAATATAAACCTGTGTACCATTTAAATGTCTGGAGTAAAACATAACTTTCTAATAGTATAGACACTATGTAAGTATAGCATCATACACAAACTCTTTGAAGATAATTTTAATTCTCGTTTACATACATTATAAGAAAAATAAGTAGAATTTAATTAATTATCTTTTAGAAAAAAAAAATTCCATTTATGTAAACTTAAACGTTACAGATTAAGAGTTTCCTAAACTTGCGATGCGGTTAAGAAGTAGGAAAAGGGAGCGACCGCTCTCAGCGCGAAATACACAAAGACAAACGACTTTGAAATCAAAATTAAGAAAACCACTCATCCAAGCGAAAAAGACTTGGAGAAAAATATTGAAAGCGGACAATGGTATCACGATACCAAGTCCGTGCATCACTAGGTCACAGAACAATCTAAATCTAAAATCAAAAACACGAGCTAAAATAGCCAAAAGTATGGAAAAACCACTGGAACTACCATTAAAGAAGAACAAGCCGAAAGAAGAGGCTAAGAAACCTATTTTCCAGACCGTTGTCAGAAACTCCACTAAAGATATGGTGACTTCAACAACGAAGCCTAAAACTCAGAACGATAAAGTCACAACGACCACAAAGACAAAGTTAAAGGACGTTCGTACAACCAAAAGTGCACAGTTAAGACAGAGCTCGTTGAACAGAGAGCTTCGTAAGACAGAATCTATATCGTCAGCACTCAGTTCACCTCGTAAAACCCGTAGAATGGATAAACCGGAGAAATCTGCTTCTTTAAACAACTCACCTATCCGTAAAGTAAGACAACTAGGGCTGCCATCGTTGAAACTAAACAAGATAGCTATCAGCTCGACCAATGAGAGCCCCAAGAAGAGAATTAAACCCAAAGCTCCGATGGTTCCCGAACAAACCAACGATTTCAACGATGACAACGATATTACCATGTACGAACCACATACAACTACATTTGACGACTTCCCGATACCTAAAACAGTAGAATCAGATATCGATGCTCAAGTCGGTTCATCGGAAATCTGCCTCCCAAACGATTGTCTCAACGACTTGATAGCTATCGCTGAATGTGCACGGATTATAAGCAACAATCTATCAACCGACGAAGATATTAACTTACTAGCAGATAAAGCGGCAAAAGTCATGACGACCGACAAAGATGAAGTCAAGAAATGTATGGACAAGAAAAATAAGCAAAGATCTAGCGGGGACTTGGAAATGTACCAGCCGACATCAACCACTGATGATTTGGATGTGTGCACCGATTTCTTGAACCATGGAGATAAATATGTTCAGGTGAGTTTTATAAATTATTAGATTTCTTTTTTCTTATATTTGGTGCAATATTTATTGAATGTTCTTGCTATATCCAGTTTTATACAAACATTTACCAAATTTTTTAACTGAGTATATAAAGTATTCATAAACACATACTTAACTTAATTAAAAAAATATAAATAATAAGTTTGGAGATTAAAAATAAAATAACTGTGACAAATATTAAATAAATACCATAATTACAAAACATCTATGTATTGTATCATACTGGGTAATGAAATAAATATATATAAAATGCTATAATAAATATATTATCATAAGAAAGTCACCCTCATCTGTTTGTTTGTGAAGAACCAATCTTGTGAGTTATTGACAAACTCACAAACATTTTTAATACATTCAATAAAACCTAATACATATATGTAATGAATAATTAAAACTTTTATTATTAACTAGCTGGTACTCGCGACTCCGTCTGTCTAAAAATAAAAAAACAATGAAAAAACTTTTTAGCGCCATACGCCCTCCTCCCACTCGCGTTAAACACTTAATTTCTTGATTGACATTAAAAAATATAGCCTAAGATACTTCCTTATTACATCAGCTACCAGCCAATAAAAATCTAATCAAAATGGGTTCAGCCATTTCAGAGATTAACCGGAACTAACAGACAGACAAAAATTCAGAAAATAATATATGTAAAATGAGATCTAAGATTCCCGCGAGTATTCATTTGAATGAAACCTAATATTTTACCTATATACTACGCGATTTTATTATTAATAAAAAACTACATACTACCGATGTTTCAGCTACTTTACAGCAACCGTGATCATTTACATCACAACAATATATATGTATGTACCGTATATATTCATATGCACTTAGTAAAAAACGGATATTGCAATATAACAAAAGGACTTTGAAATTTAATTTATACATATGTATGAAAAAATAGTAAAATTTGTATTTGTTCAGTTATAAATAATAATTAAATTATTTATTTGTAACATATTTAATGAGATTTAAAACTATCGCGAATATTCATTTAAATGAAACTAATAATTTAGTACTACTACTCCTTTTTTATTATTTTAACCACATAATCCCGACGTTTCGGTAATACTTTGCAGCAACCGTGAATACATCTCATATATTTTCCGTGATCACGATTTCAAAGTAACCGAAACGTCAGGAGTATGTAGTATAAAATAATAAAATACATCCCTACTAATATTATAAATGCGAAAGTAACTCTGTCTATCTGTCTGTCTGTTACGCTTTCACGCCTAAATCACTGAACTGATTTTAATAAAATTTGGTACAAATATAGAGTTGACCTTGTGAAAGAACATAGGATTTTTTATCCCAGGCTTTTGAAAAGTTCTCTTGGAAACGCGACATAACCGAACTCCACGCGGGCGAAGCTGCGGGCAGAAACTTGTATAAAATAAAATTGAAAGTTGAATTCAGTTTTTAGGCAAACGGAAATTCATGTTAGGATTTTTTGTTTGTAATTGAGGGTATTCTTGAAATAGGCAAAAGTATAAGCAAAAAATTACTATTAATATGTTTCCGAAATAAAGTGCTTAGATCAAAGACAATAACTAATATAAATATATATTTTTCAGCAGCCAGACCTGGTGTCTCTATTGGAGCAAGAGTATGTCCGTGATGAGTGTGTTATATCATCGACAATGGCTATGGAGAGTCTTGAAGCTCTGTCTGCCCGAGGACCCAGCAGCGGCTTCCTCGCTGAAATAACACACAGCCTAGCAGACGGAGAGGATACATGGGTAAATACTTGTATAGAATAGAATAGTATTGTATAGAAGTCTTGTTGTAACTCATCTATATATTGTTTGTATAAGTCATAGTAGCCTAGTGGTTAAAGGCCCGACTCTCATGCAAGAGAGCAGGTTTGATCCTGGCAAGTACCAATGGGATGTTCTGAGTCATATGTATGCTATAACAGTATTTAGACATCACCGATTAATAAAGGAAAACATTGTGAGGAAACCTGGGCTTATATTCCAATTATAAGTTTGAAATCACCAACTCATCTTTGTTTTTTTGTATCTATACAATAGATATAATACACTGTCTCACATACCCCTCTGGAGGGGGTGGCATGCGCTCGGCAGTAGTGAGCCAGTGTCTAGTTATTCTTACATAGAAGACCCGGTTACAATAAGAATAAAGTTACTATCACTTAACTGTTAGTATAAGAATACCACCTATTGTGGTTGTGATGTAATAAGAAATTCCTGGTGAATGATGGACAGTGGTTTCCTTAGTAGTAAACAATGATATACTATTTATTATCTATATTAATAACTTATACATATCCTAGCTGACCTTGCAAACATTGTTTTGCCATATAAGAAAAATAGGGGTTGGTGATAAAAAAGTAAAAATTTTGGGTTGTATGTATTTTTAATGGTATATTATAAAAAAAATTCGTCCGAAAATGAAAATAAAAAATTAAGGGTCAGCAACCCTTATCACTTAGGGGTATGAAAAATAGATGTTAGCCGATTCTCAGAGCTACTCAATATGCTCACAAAATTTCATCAAAATCGGTCAAACCGTTTCGGAGGAGTTCTCTGTCTAACACCGTGAATCGAGAATTTTATATTTATAGATATAATATAAGTATTATTTGTTCCAGAGCTCCACAGATGTTGTTGTAGAAGAAAACAATTTGAACTGTCATGACACCACACCCGGGATTGAGGTAAGGGAATTTATCTACAACTTGACAATATATGATACTGCCTGTGTCGATTTAATACTATTTTTCCTACATTAAATTCTTATTAAAATTTTGTATGAATCTACTGATAACTTGTCTAAAAAGTAACAAATCATATTCTTTTTGACATACATTATGTTCAGAATGTTTGTTGCTATTTAAAAACATTGAACTGATTTTGTTAAAACTTTATGGTTAGGTTAGATATTATAATGAGACAGGCTATATCAGTGTTTTTCAAACATTTCAGAGAATCTCTTAAAATTAAATATGTCTTTAGACTTTTAATTTAAGGATTCCCTTGTCTGTTTATAGCACAAGGGGGTCCCACTGGGGGAAAAACCTATATATATAATATATATTGGTGCTATTGTTTTAACTCTAAACTTAACACCATTACTACGTCTACGCAGACGAAACCATTCTCACAAACTAGTATAGTAATACATTTCCCAGGAGTCTACGTCAGTTATATCATCATGCAGCCCGAGACCTAGTTGTGAACAGATGACATCATGGGCGGACGCATTTGACCCGTATCTATTCATTAAACAGGTATATATATACATATATATATATATATATATATATATATATAATACTAGCTGCGGCCCGCGGTGTTACCCGCGGATTTCCGGCATGTAAAGTAGCCTATGTGTTATTCCTGGACGTCAGCTTCCTGTATACAAAATTTTATCAAAATCGCTTCAGCCGTTTGAGCGTGAAGAAGTAACAAACATACACACACACTCACAAACTTTCGCGATTATAATATTAGTAGGATAATAATATTATAAAGCTGAAAAGTTAGTTTGTTTGTTTGAACGCGCTTATCTCAGGACCTACTGGTTCGAATTGAAAAATTATTATTGTGTTGAATAGAAAGGCTTTTATAGGCTATATAAATGTGATTAATATGATAGACGAAACAATAGAAAATGTTTAAAAAAACGGTGAAATAATTCATCTTTGAGGGCTTCCGTTGCGTGCGCTGCAAAAACGGTTTAAGATACAAGAAAAATATGTATGAAAGAATTATTCCTCTTGAGATTATCTAAAAAAATGTCCGCTACAGTACATACATTTTTGTATTTTCAACTATAATTTGTTATCAATACCTCTCACATATATATTAATTACTATACAGGGTGACTGGTGAATTACTATCAATATTTAAGGAGAATACTCGGTACATGATTCTCATTCGAATTATGTAAAAAAAATAGGTACTTAATTTTTGACAAAATTTCCGTATAAATAAATAAAGTGTTGACACGTTCCAAGTGTTCCAAGTGTGGACGCGTGCGGCGGCGTGCTGATACAACACCACGCCGCCGCACGCGTGTGTGTGTGTGTGTGTGTGTGTGTGTGTATACCTAATCTGTAGGGTGTTCACACGATGCGTAATTAATTACATAACTTTTGGTTAACTTTACTTAGAAGTTTATTAATATTTATGTTATATTAATTTTTATTTTGTCATATATGATCGTCAAATATCACGTCCTCAAGTATCGATAGTAATTCACCAGTCACCCTGTATTAATATTCCTCAGTTGCCACCTTTGGAGACAGTCTCAGCGGGAGGTTTGAGAGCCAGGTGTCCAGCTCTACCTCTCAAGACACGCACCAGTCCAGATTTTAGTCTGGTGAGTATTATTATTAATAATATTAATAATATTAAACTATATATATAATACTAGAAGAGCTACCGAATTTCGTATCGCCCTATAATAAAGAAATATCTGTTACGTTTTTGTATTTATATTTTTGGAGTTTACCTATTAAAGCCATAAATCTCCGTGTTTTGAAGTGCGACAGAATGATTGACATATTAGTTAGTTGTCAAATCTAATGTCAAAAAAAACGTTTGTATCAACAACTACTAATAAATTAAAAATTAATTTAAACCACATTGTCCAGCGGAAAAAAATTGTGAATCTAAACCATTCCCAGATCCCCTTGAACACACACAAAAAATTTCATCAAAATCGGTCCAGTCGTTTGAGAGAAGTTCAGTGACATACACACTCACAGAAGAATTATATATATAAATTATATATGTATCTTGGACTATAAAATGGTCTATAAGTGGACTATAAGTCATTGCAGAATTAATTCAAGATTATATTGTGTTTAGACATATTGACTATAGATGTCGCTGATATGGTAGATGTTTCAATATTTTTAACAAACATTTTTACATTTGCATTTGAGCCTAATATCCTAGACTTAGTAAACAAAGACGTAGGCAAAGATAGTGTATTTATATCTTCATATTGGATCAAAACAAGATGTATAAATTATTATAAGTTTTGAAAATTAACTACGAATTACTAAAATTTAATTCAATTTTTATATTAGAACTAGCTTTCCGCCCGCGGCTTCGCCCGCGTAGATTTCGGTTATATCGCGTTTCCAAGAGAACATTTCAAAAGTCTGAGATAAAAACTATCCTATGTTCTTTCTCAAGGTCAACTTTATCTCTGTTCTAAATTTCATTAAAATCAGTTCAGTGGTTTAGGCGTGAAAGCGTAACAGACGTATAGAGTTACTTTCGCATTTATAATATTAGTAGGGATGTCAAACAGAGCTTCCCAAACTTATTATCTACCACCTACTTTTATAATAAATTGTCTTTTATTGTCTACATTTTCTCCATGTACTGTAAACCCTCTATAACTTATTCTATCTCTATATAATAACACATCACTCCCTGTCTCTATACAACACTATCATGTTTGTGTCTTAACAACCACTTAAAGACTGTAGTGTCCACTAGAGGTCGTTGTGGCTCTCTTTATTAAAGTCTATTCTTTACTTATAGATAGAATTCTAGCTTGTCTTATTAATCATTGTATACTTATCAATTTAATTCAATATTAGGTATATTATATGTTTTACTAACTTCTGTAAAGTCTGTAACTATATGTTATATTTTCCAGGTGTTGGATCTAGATGAGACGTTGGTTCATTGTTCCCTCCAGGAGTTGCCGGATGCTAGCTTCCACTTTCCAGTGTTATTCCAGGATTGTAGATATACGGTAAGATATATATTATTAAAAGTATATATATGTATATATAACGTCGTGGTGGCTTAGTAGTTAAAGGCCTCTCGTGCATGTGGGCGCGGGTTCGATCCTGGCAAGTACTAAGCAGTGGCGTGCACAGAGATTTCGGGTAGGGTAAGCAAAATATGTATGGAAAAAAAATATCAATTTTCATCAATTCCTTTCTAAAACATTAATAATAATGAGATCTTTGGAAACAAACAAGGCAAACTTATTTGTGTGTACACAATCTGCTAACTAATTAAAACTATCATAATACTTTTTATTAAAACCAATTACATTGCTTTTATTTTAGGTCAATTTCAACTGGTCACACAATTTGACTTTACGCTTATTTTAATTGTATTATTAAACGACAATATTAAAAATATATTCGTATTAATTTCGATAAACACACATTACAAGCACGGAGCTAACAGCTATATTTTTCCATAGTTCATCCATAAAATCTTTTCACTAATAAAATGGCGCAAAAAATTTATGAACAGTTTACCGACCAATCAGAGTCCCGTTTCATTTGACAATTAACGGACTTTCTACGAGATTTTAAACAATACAAAATAATCAGTGCTTCTCTAACACTGCATATTTTACACACACTCGTACAAACATTTCCTCCATACATACACGAGATTTATATTCTCATTTTTATTTTACCGTCCTAATGAGAATTTTTGTATGGAAAAAAAGCACATAGTGGTTGTGCATACCACCGCTCTTGGCTGCATAGTGGTGCTAGCAGTTAACAGAGGTCGATCGAAAATGTTTCGTTTTTACATTGTTAGATGGCACTTATTAACAAATCATGAATGAAAATCATTTAAATAAAAATGTCTGTTAACATTTGTATTTCGTAATTGTATTAAAAGTATGTAAGTAAGAATTAAAAAATATAGGTTTAGTTGTTATGTGGGTTGGTATGCAGTGCTTATTTGCATATATGGTGTGTACGCCATTGGTACCAATGTGATTTTTCCGAGTCATATGTACTTTCTAAGAGTATTTAGACACTACTGATAGATGAAGGAAAATATCGTGAGGAAACCTGGACTTCTAATATCAAATTATAAGTTTGAAATCACCAACCCGTCTTGAGCGAGCGTGGTGATTAATGCTCAAGCCTTCTCCATGTGAGAAGAGGCCTTTCAGCAGTGAGATCTGATAGGCTATATATATATATATATATATATACATATATTACATGTTTATTTACTAATATATATGTATATTATTCCAGGTGTTTGTCCGCACTCGTCCCCACTTCGCCGAGTTCCTCTCCAAAGTGTCCCGTTTGTATGAAGTGATTCTGTTCACCGCTAGCAAGAGAGTGTACGCTGATAGACTACTCAATCTACTCGACCCGGCTAGAAGGTGGATTAAATATAGGTATGTATAATATACATATATATATAATATATGAACATAAAGCAAAATTGTTACTTTAACACCTAGAAATATAACTGAACTTAAGAATTATATTCTTATCTTAATTTATATCATATATCTATGACTCCTATGTATAAACGCCAATATGCAAAATATCAATTTTAAGGTGGCACTTCACTTGGCGCAGCGTATTATCATCATTTGTCCAAATATTTGTATTTAGTCCAAATAACGCAAACACGACATCCACACTTGGCATTTATTTATTTATAAGGAACACTTACAAAACATACACTATTTATAGGTTTTAAATTAAAGGTAATTACATTTTTAGTTAAGTGTTGTTTCAATTAAAAGTTATTACGGCATGGAAAAGTACAGTATTTTCTATTGACCTAACACAACATTTTTTTTTCCTACTTCTATTATACAAAAGGGAAAACAAAAAATACTACTAATAATAATACAATATAAAATGTAAATTACAAAAGACAATAACAAATTACCAATTTATTACCAAACAATTAAAGAATTAAAAATAAATAAAATGAAACTTTTTTTTTAGATATTTAACAAAAAAAATTATAACAAACATAACTAACAAACAACTGTAATACAGAACCTAAACGACACAATATAAACGTGATCGATGTTGAAGGACTGGAATGTGATCCTTATTTTATTATTTTCAACTTACAATTAATAATTTCAAATACTGGGCGATTTAAAAATAGCTATAACTTTGCTTTTAAATTTTAGCAGACTGTCTGAAAAAATGTCAATATCAATTTCTTTATTTCTTATAAGTAAGTTATACTGTCTAGGTAGCCTACTCATGATAGCATTCTGTCCTAAATTCGTTTTTGAGCGTGGAATCGAAAAAGGAACGTATTTACTCGCACGGGGAAACCTTGATGGCGCATTAAAATTAATTTTTGTACGAGGTTAGGACAGGTCTAACTTGCCATTAACGATTTCGTGAAGCAAAATCTGGTCCAATAAATGTCTCCGATTGAGCAAGCATTGAGCATGACAACAACACATCTTTACGCGTTTTCGCTTATTTGTGTATATATGTCAAATGAAGACGAATAAATTCCCCACACATGGTCTTTTTTGGCCGAACACAACAAATAAACTCCAAGTGAATTGCCACTTCTACAGTAAAGGCGTTTTAAGTTTGATTTCAATGTATCTTGTACATACAACTGATGCTTTTGAAATTTTGCATAGCGACTATGACTTACATGTACGACATTTAAGATTGATAAACTACTAGCTTTCCGCCCGCAGCTTCGCTCGCGTGGAGTTCGGTTATATCGCGTTTCCAAGAGAACCTTTCAAAAGTCTGGGATAAAAACTATCCTATGTTCTTTCTCAAGGTCAACTCTATCTCTGTACCAAATTTCATTAAAATCAGTTCAGTGGTGTAGGCGTGAAAGCGTAACAGACAGACAGACAGAGTTACTTTCGCATTTATAATATTAGTAGGGATTGTAAACCTACTATTTAAGTGTGTTACTTATGCCCTTTTACTGCAATAGACTAACCAACAAATACGCATTTTATTAAATGGATGTTATAGAATACAATATTATGAAGTGTTTAAAGAAAAAAATTTAAACTGGCATAAATAGCTACATTGGCCAATACATAGGACCAATCGATATATGTAAATAATCATCTTTAAAGAGTTATTGAAGCAAAGGTAAATTTGTTTGACTATATTGTTAGAATTATTCCTAAAAGATATATATTTCTATTGTTTCCACATGATAATGTTTGTATGTCTGTCAGGTTGTTCCGAGAGCACTGTCTACTAGTTAACGGCAACTACGTGAAGGATCTGTCAATACTGGGGCGAGATCTGAGGCGAACGGTCATCGTGGATAATAGCCCACAGGTAAATATTATATATTACGGTGTTAGACAGAGAACTCCTGAACGGCTGGATCGATTTTGATGAAATTTTGTGAGCATATTGAGTAGCTCTGAGAATCGGCTAACATCTATTTTTCATACACGTCATTTTGACCCTTAATTGTTTTTTTATTGTAGGATGAAATTTTTGGTTTTTATTTTTTTATAATGCACCATTAAAAAATACATACAACCCAACATTTTTAAACAACCCCCTATTTTTTGTATATGGCAAAACAATGTTTGCCAGGTCAGCTAGTATATATGCATATAAGTTATTAATATAGACAATAAATAGTATATCATTGAGTTAAAAAAATCTTAAGATTTAATTTATATTTCATATAATCTTATTTATTATACAGTTAGTTCTTACCACAAGCTACTCAAACTAAATACTAAGTTGCTCATTTTTCCCTAATAAATATTACTATTATATATAATGTGCAATTTAAATTATATGTGTATAGTTTTTCAGTCTATGATCAATATACAATAGTAATACATATATTCTCTTATATGTTTTATAATTGCTATATATTATATGTTGCAGGCTTTTGGCTATCAGCTAGAGAATGGTATTCCTATAGACAGTTGGTTTGTAGACCGCAGTGACAATGAACTACTCAAACTGCTGCCCTTCCTTGAACATCTGGCCACGGTAAATATATCTTTATATATATATATATAATTCTTCCGTGAGTGTGTATGTCACTGAACTTCTCTCAAACGACTGGACCGATTTTGATGAAATTTTTTGTTTGTGTTCAAGGGGATCTGGGAATTGTTTAGATTCACAATTTTGTCCGCTGAACAAAGTTTTTTTAAATACATTTTTAATTAATTAGTAGTTGTAGATACAAACGTTTTTTTTTACATTAGATTTGACAACTAACTAATATGTCAATCAAAAGATTTATGGCTTTAATAGGTAAACTCCAAAAATATAAATAAAAAAACGTAACAGACATTTCTTGATTATAGGGCGATACGAAGTTCGCCGGGTCTTCTAGTCTTATATATAAAATTCTCGTGTCGCGGTGTTAGACAGAGAAATACTCCAAAACGAATGGACGGATTTTAATGCAATTTTGTGAGCATATTGACTAGGTCTGAGAATCAGCCAACATTTATTTTTCATACCCCTAAGTCATAAGGGGATTTCACCCTTAATTTTTCTTTTTTTAATTTAGGGACGTAGTTTTATAATGTAGCATTAAACGTACATACAAATCAAAATTTGAATTTTATCACAAACTCTTATTTTTTTATATGGCAAAACAACATTTGCCGAGTCAGCTAGTATATATATATATATATATATATATAAGAATTGCTCACCTAAAGATATAAGACATGTAGTGTTTATTAAAACTACATATACATATTAAATTCTTAATACATGTGTTGTGCTAAAGAGTAAGACTGAATGATATAACCTAATATAATAGTGAATTTAGTAGTAAATCCGAAAATATTATTTTTATTTAAACATGTTATATTAATCTGTAATATTTTTTATTTTCACAGAAAGACGACGTCCGGCCGTACATCAGAGACAAGTACAAGTTGTTCAGTTACTTGCCACCAGACTAAAATAACTAGGTACAACAATAATAATAAAATAATTATAATAATATTAATAAGATAATCGGTTGTTATTTATTGAGGAAGAAAAGTATTTTTTTTTACTTTAGGATCGGGATTTTTGTTTTATCTGTGATTTTTTTGAACATTTTTTTTTTCAATTATTTTTGACTGAATTTTTTTATGAAATATATATTTTAAGTTAAGTTTATTATTTAATGATCGATTTTTGTATGTTTGGATATGTATTGATTGAAAAATACTCAGCATTTGTATATAATATATAGGGGATTTGATGTAGAAATACATATATATATGTCACCCTATTAGATTAAGTTTAATTAACAAAATATATATAAAAAAAATAATATATTTCCCTTACATTATATATCTTTTTATTCGTCAGGTGCTAATAATTTAGAATCTTTGTTTTTTTTACAAAATACAGGCTGTCTATTAATTTATGAAGATCGGTCTAAAATATTAAATAATTATTTACATAATATACTTCATTTGTTAATTTTACATAAATGTATACTAATGATATTTATTTAAACCATTTGAGACAGAGTATTATATTGGTTGCGCTGCCGGCAGCTCGATTGCTATTTATTTAAAATGTGAATTTATACGTAAAATTAAATATATATTAAATAATTTAATTAATAAATCTTATTTGGTATAGATTGTTTTTCTATATGAATATTGTTTATCTGAAGCATCCTTCCCAATAGCCGTAGTGTAGGTAAGTTAAGTATCAAGTAGCTAGTGTAATAGTTAACTAGATAAACGAAAATATAATCAAATAAACATTTAACATATCAGTGTTTTATTTCATTTTTAATGATTTAACATTTTAATATATAAATCCTTTAAAGGTGGCAATCCACTTGGCGTAGCGTATTCGCCGCTTTTGTCCAAATATTTGTATTTAGTCCAAATAACGCAAACACGACATCCACACTTGGCATGCCAACAACTCATCTTTATGTTTTGCTTATTTATGTATGCGTCTTATTTGTGCAAATATGTCAAATGAAGATGAATAAATCCTCCACACATGGTCTTATTTGACCGAACACAACAAATAAACGCCAAGTGAAGTGGCAACTTTATAATAATTACTGTTATTAACTCACGACAAGAAATACTTAATCAGATCAATGAGTTATAAATAAAACTCAAAGGAAAATTTCAGTGTTGTATACAAATTAAACTCACACACATATATATATATTTTCTTTTATTTTAAAATTACTTTTAAACAACAAACAGATCACACTCCAAGTCACAATATGAGACATCCATACAGTCTGTGCGACGACCTCCCTTATATACAATAACACACACATACATGTGTACATATGTGTGTGTCGTGACGTCATCATCTAATACTCGCTGCCGCTGTCCAAGTGACGATCCTTCACGTGGCGAATCAACTGAAACATAAAATTGCTTATTAATTGAGAAACATCAAAAACAAATATAAAAACCACTGAATGAAATTTCAATGAAACTACAATAAAACAGTTAATAATTATAATACTGAACCATTGTTATTTTGTAATGTCAACATTAAGGTATCAACCTATTTTTAAAAACTATAAATACTGGCTTCAGCCATTTTGTAGGACATTACTGGAACGATGAACATTGATAAACAAATGACAGAAAATAGCCAGTCATTTATTTCTATAAAAGTGTTCAATATAGTGCGGGGTGACAATATTTCTTTTCAATTTGATGAAAATTATCCTATATACTTTCTATTGTTCTAAATTCTTATCTATCTCTCCGCCAAATTTCATCTATATCCGTACAGTTGTTCTTGAGTTATAGTGTAACTAACACTACTTTCTTATTTATATATATATATTTCTCCTACCTGTGAGTGTGTGTTGGCTCTGTAGGGACACCTCGCACACTGTAGCGAGCTAGCAGCCGCTCGACCGCGCCACTTGCCCGCCCCGCCGCCGTGCTCCGACGCCTGAAACACACATACAAGTCATATAGTATGTTATGTGACGGTGTAATAAGTGGTCGTTTAATTAAAATATAATTATCTTTATACGGTATAACCAAAGGACGCCTTAGGTTCTGGGTAAACTCGTCTATTCTACACGGGTCTGACTCAGCAGTTCCGTGTGAAGATAGTTTTTGGTTTATATTTCTTTTATATTTTTAGATTATAATATTTCTTTTAAGAATTTCATTACATTTAGTGTGACTATTTGTTCAACCTTCGTGCAACATAGTCGCACCCTAGTTGTAACTTACTTTAAATTAAATTAAGTCAAATAATTTTGGTTTCATTGCATCCACCGACCGTCGAAATCATAATTAGCACAACAACATCAATTATTGTACATATAATTGTTGTATATGTCTAATAGTGTATATCAGTCAGTTAGTGTGAGTGATGACAGAACTGGTCATATATGAATGACGTATATACAGGAGAAGTAAGATATGACAATATAACGTAGTATATATATAATATCTTCTTCTAGCTGGCAATTTTTCCAGCTATAGCCACGGTCTGCCTTACATGTTGTGAATAGTTTTGGCTAATTGTTTTTACGACCGGCTGCCTGCCTGACATCAACCCTCTTTGGGAATGCATTATCAGTGATGTCTAAATACTCTTATAAAGTACATATGACTCGGAAAAATCACATTGGTACTTGCCCTGGCCAGGATCGAACCCGCGCCCTCGACGTCGAGGCGGGCCCCCTTAACCATTAGGCCACCACTGACGATAATATATTATACTATAATTATATTAAATATTACTTTGTCATGAAATCTATTTTATTCACAATAAAAATACTTAACAAGTCAAATAAATCCCAACTACTATGTCAATGTCAGTAAAAATTTCAGAATCATTTCTATATACATATATGAAAGTTCTGCAATATATTTTTGTCAGCATTTACATATATTATATATCTCTCCAACCTTGTGTTTAGTCAACTCCTTGATAGCGTTGCATTTGAAGTTGCACAGTTTACACGAGTACAGGAACAGTTTGAATGCTGGTGAGGAGAGCAGCTCGTGGGGCGGAGGCAGGGAGCTTCGCCCTCGAGAAGCCCCGCTGTGATTGAGGAGACTCCTGGAAACAATATATATATTATATTAATAATTGATAATTTGTATGTATTTTAGGGAAGATTAATATATACATCTTCTGAGATAGTGCAAATCCTCGTAACTAGCATTGGATAATTCCCCAAGAAGAAAGTTTGAGCTGAAATATTTTATAAATTAACTAGCTGACCCAGCAGACTTCGTACTGCCTCAATCAAGAAATAAATTATGTCTTATTTCTTTTTTTGGTGTTTACCTTTAAGCCATAAATCTCCGTGCTCTGAAGTGCGACAAAATGATTGACATATTAGTTGTCAAATCTAATGTCAAAAAACCGTTTGTATGGGAAATAAAAAAGCGCTGTTTTTAGGGTTTTCCCTAAAATTAATAAAAAAAATTCAGCTTTTATACCTTCCCTGAACCTCCACGAACATTTCAAGACTATGATAAGATAAATCCGTTCAGTCGTTCTCGAGTTTTAGATTTATAGATAGAAGATAGATAGATAGTTAGATGACTTTTAAGGCAATTTTTTTCACAACTAGTAATAAATTAAACACTCAATAATTACTTCGACAAATAAAAATTATTACAGTTAGCTTATATGTACTTCTATGATGTGCGTAATTTTAATTATTCTTATTGTTCATTAATATATATTTACTTCGCCTTTTGTAACGCCTTCGCTCTCTCCAATATCTCTGTCGGTGACATCACTGGCTTCTGTGGCTGAAACACAAAATAATTGATATATATAATCATTATTTTGGAATTTAAATTCATATATATTACAAATATTCTTACATAAAAGTTATATTAAAAAAAAAAACAATTTTCAAACAAAACTAATTTAAATAATTTCATCTATTAATACGTAACAGTATATTTTACTATAGACTAGTTATTGCCCGCGACTTTATTCGCGTTCACTTATTAAGTTGAGAAACAAATCAATAACGTTTATCTAATTATAAGATTTAGATTAGATTCTAAATCATCTGATTTACAACTGTCAGCGCCATCTATTATCTATGCCGTAACTTCATATAAAATACAGCATAAGTACCGTGTTATACAGGGTGACTGGTGAATTACTATCGATACTTGAGGACGTGATATTTGACGATCATATATGACAAAATAAAAATTAATATAACATAAATATTAATAAACTTCTAAGTAAAGTTAACCAAAAGTTATGTAATTAATTACGCATCGTGTGAACACCCTACAGATTAGGTATACACACACACACACACACACACACACGCGTGCGGCGGCGTGGTGTTGTATCAGCACGCCGCCGAGCGCGTCCACACTTAATTTATTTATACGGAAATTTGGTCAAAAATTAAGTACCTATTTTTTTTACATAATTCGAATGAGAATCATGTACCGTGTATTCTCCTTAAATATTGATAGTAATTCACAAGTCACCCTGTATAAAAATTTACGAAATTTATGAATAAATAATAATCTATGTATCATTTTGATGTCTGAGTTACATCACTTAAGAGTTTCATCACAATCTGTTCAGCAGTTTTTTTTATACAGAAACATACAACAGCGATGAGTGTTCATAATGAGATCTAAGACTTTCTCTTGTATTAATTTAAATGAAACTAATATTTTATGATTACTACGCGTTTTTTTATAACAAGACCAACTGACAGACATTCACATCCTGTCTTCTTCATCACGATTGGTATAAAGTAACCAAAACGTAGGCAGTATGTAGTTAAAGTAATAAAAAACGCATAGTAATACTAAAATATTAGTTTCATTTACTAGTGTCAATAAAAAATACTAGTATTTTGTGAAATATTATTTTCATTTGTTAATATTAATAATATTACCTTTGTTTCAGTCCTTATATCTGACTGTAGGAACACCAACGGCCCTTGATCCGAGTCTCCTTCAACCACCACATATGATTCTTGATCATTTTGACCTGGAATTAATATATTTAGATTAATATCATTTGAATAGCTTATCTTCTACCGGGCAATTTCCCAGCATTAGCCAGGGTCTGCCTTACATGTTATGAATAGTTTTGGCTAATTATTTTTACGACCGACCGCCTGCCTGACATCAACCCTCTTTGGGAATGCTTTAATCAGTGATTTCTAAATACTCTTATAAAGTACATAAGACTCGGAAAAAACACATTGGTATTTGCCAGGATCGAACCCGCGCCCTCATGCATGAGAGGTGGGCCTTTTAATCACTAGGACACCACTGACTTATCATTTGTATAGCTTATATGCTTCTTAGAAACTAAGTTAAATTAATATAGTATTACTGGAACATTCTATTTCATATTTGTTTACAAACATTACCAATAGGAATGTTGTGGTGAATTTTTAGTTAAGTTTCGTCTACTCGTCACAAGATGGCGTTGACTGGAGAAAATATTCTCTACGTCGATATTTAAGCCGGAAGTATAATATAAAAAAATCACGTCAAACTTATTAATTACCTATTCAGAATAACGACGATATTTTTATACTATAAATTTATGTATAAAGTTTTTTTAAATACATTAAAAACTAAAAGACTTTTCTTATTGAGTTAATTCAATATTACTTAACTAAAATGATTTAATATCATGTAATATAATTGAACATTAAAACTTTTATAACATTATTTTACAATATCTGTCTATCGGTTCATAGTAGACGTATTTAGAGATGTCATTTAACACATAACTATCTTTTATTATAGTTGGTTATATTACCATCATCTTCAGCCAGTACACAGGTCACTGTTTCATCATTGTTTCCAACCAATCTATATGATTGTTCACCGTCTCCACATCTGGTAAAAGAGTATTATGTTATTTTCACCATATATACTTAATATTTATTATGTATTAGTTATGCTTGCTCCTTTTGTTAAAACAATATGATGTCAAGTGTAATGTAGGTACATTATTATATTAGTTACTGTCATTTAATTTGCTACAATACATACATGACTTTAATATAGTTTTATTGAATACTACAATATTTAATTAGAATAATAGAAATATTAGACCAAAGTGAGCAACAACACCCTCTAGTGGACATTACAGTCTTGAAGTGGTTGGTAAGACACAGAAACATATGATAGTGTTGTATAGAGACAGGGAGTGATGTGTTATTATATACAGATAGAATAAGTTATAGAGGGTTTACAGTACATTTAGAAATAGGGATGATAAAAGATTATTTATTATAAAAGTGAGTGGGATATAATATTTTGAACATCTGACATATTACTTGCCATTCCAACAGTATATATTTCCATTATTTATATTTTCCATTAATTTTTTTTTATACAAATATTATTAAAACATGATAAAGAAAAATATTCATTAAGATGTTACTTCTATATTTTCAATTATTATTAATATCACACTTGAAAAATCTATTAAAATGACTTAAACAACAAACTAAGTCTGAGCCTGTATAAAATATTTGTTTTATATAATATTTTACCTAAAATTAGGTTTTCAATAGCTTATATACATAAAATTGTTATAAATAAGCTGTATTAATACAAAACCGATTGCTATAGCTTTTAAGCCAGCTTAAATGGTAAAAACAAGCTATTAGTATATATCTAAATTCTAAGCTATATCTCAACTTACCGAACCAATGTCAGATTCAATAGATCCAGAACAACATTTTTGTCTCCATCCAAAACCTGCATGTATTGGCCGTCCTCACTCTCAGATTCTTGAGCCTCGATTTCTTGGGCTTCTAACTGAAAAATTTAATTAATTAATATATAAATGATAATATTTTCTTAATTTCTATAATGGATGACATCTATGTTTCTTCTCATGATATGCTATCGAGTGGTGAATGTTGCATCACAATTTGTTTTCATTAAGAATTTTTTTGTTTTTCATAATAAGCTATAATATATATTATTGTTGGTTTTTGTGACTTTTCCAAACAATTTTATTATTTATTTATGAATCAAAGCTTAAACTGTCTTTTAAACCATTATTTGGTTTTTGTTGAAATTTTCATAGTACAGTTAAATTCTTATCTTATGATCAGTTAGTTTGTAAAAATAAAATCTCTAATAATTTTAAAGCGAGTAGCTTACTTTTGTCCCTTTGTGATATGGTGATACCTCAACTATTTGAAGTTTTCCTGAAATCAGAGTAATTTAATATTAAAAGATATTTATAATAATAGTCCAAATTATATCTCGGCTTTAAAGTACTGGAAGTTACAAAGCATTACCTTGATGAATACTCGAAGGGATTGAAATAAAATTAGAAAATACAAGAAATAAGCTAATTGTTGATAATGAAGTAATAATAAAGAATTATATGAGTTTTAATATTATTAAGACTTGAATACAATTATATATATTACATATGAAATTGACAACAGGAATGGTTTTTTGTCTAATAGTATAGAATCTTCTAGACCACCATATATGTGAAAGAATTAATATTAAAAAGTTCAAACACAATATTTTTACTGTAAGATAAATTATGTTGATAATAATTATAATTTTAACTATTATTTGTAGTTATAACAATCAGTAATGAGATGTAAGACTGTCGCGAGTATTCATTTATAACAAACCGTCTTTATATTCAGCCGTTAACATTCTCGTCGTAGATTCTTCTACTTCTGTCTCAATCTGTTCTTCATCAGACATGATTGTAGCCTGGAAATATATGAAATTCACTTACACTTTAAGAAAAAATATTCTTCTACCTGGCAATTTCCCAGCTTTAGCCAGGGTCTGCCTAACATGTGAATAGTTTTGGCTAATTGTTTTAACGACCGGCCGCCTGCCCGACATCAACCCTCTTTGGGAATACATTTAAGGTAAACTATTAAAAGTATAAAACTTGATCGGGGCTTTATGCTATATTGTAATATTACGTAGGTTTAAATTTCGCGTTTTTATCAAGCGCATTCATTACTCAACATCCATTATTGGTAAATATCATAATTTGTTTCTGGTATAGAAATGTTTTCTTACTATAATCACATATTTTTATTTATTCGTCATCGGTCATTAGATGTTGGTAATAGCTGTGATAAATGCCCAATATGTGGATTGATAATATACAATAAAATGTAAATAAATAATTGTGTTTTGTACAGCTAAATTATTTTGAAAATACGAATGATAAATTTGACAATAAATAAAACTTATTGCAACACCACACACCTCGGTGTTTCTATAGCGTAATTTTATGCAACAAATGTTTACTTACTTTGGATGGCAACAATAGTTTTAAAAGAAACCGATATGATTACAACAACACAGTAATAGACGATAGATAACTTTTAACTGTCCACGCAATTAGCTTATGCAAAATACAAACGCCATTTTAACTTTGTTTCTCCTAGACTTGTATTTTATTCGGAAGATAACACGATCTCACTGCGTGGTCAGTGTTGCCAACGTAAAAAATAGTTTAAACAATTATTATATAAAATAAATTTGAAAAATCAAAAATGAATTTAAACATAAAATATAAAATTAAATATATTAACCAAAATAATATGCTGTAATATTAGATACAATACTCAAAGAATGTTTCTGTTCCATATTTTTGAATGCTCCCGTAATACATCTATTTTTAAAATCAATACAAAGGACATGGTAGAGACAGAATCTCATTTTGCAGATGAAATGTAACATCTCTTTCTCTCTCATAGAGTCTCCTATATAAATTGATAGAGTAATAAAATGCTGAATATTATACAGATCACTAATATATACCAAAAAATAATATGCTCATGATGACTATTACCGAATTATACAATAAAAGATATATGAGTTATATGAAAATAATTTAGTATTACTGAGTAAAGTGGCATTAAAACACGAGTTCTGAATCGCGCTATCGTTATTTTCCCGTCTGCTAACTATATAAACAGTTGTTGTTGGCTGTATGTCGGAGGGTCCGTAGCTACTAAGTGAGCCGGTGTTGGCGGGGAGCCGGTCTGATTCCCCGCCATATGTTGACACGCTGTAAGCAATCAATGAATACGGAATAAACAAATGTCAAATACGTCAAGAAAATGATAAAGAGAGGCTTCGGCCTCATCCACACGCTAGTAGCTGATTTGACCCTTCTTTTGCACATTTATTTTCTACAAGTAGGTGAATTGACCCTTTTTTTGTATTAATGTTCTAATAGTCGCTAATTTGACTCTTCTTTTGCATAAATTTTTTGCATTAATGTTTTAATAGTACCTAATTTGACCCTTTTTTGTATTCTATTTCTGCTAGAAGTTGATTTGACCCTCTTTTGCATATATTTTGCATTAATATTTTTATTTAAATTTAGTTTTATTCATTTAAATCATCTTCACATGTAAAATTATTGTTGCATATTGTAGAATTTGATTAATCATATATTTTAAGAGTAGTGTCTTGTCTACCAATTGTTTATGAATGAAAAATAAGACAGTAACGTACAATATTTTTCAAGAAAGGAGTTAGGTTTTATATGAAGCTGATTTGTAATCCCTATATAAAAAATTTACATCTCTATGTTTCGTATCTATTAGTCATACATTAATAAGCAGTCTTGTTGTTGTAATAGATCAATTAATAAATGAATGTTTATTAATGAACCTTTTTACTAATCATCTAATTATCGATATTAAATACAATATTCATTAAATTAAGTTTAAGTAAAGTTTAAGATCGTGTGTGTTACAAGTTTATTTGGGGTTCATATATATAGATATTTTCAAGTATATGTTCGGAGTTCATGTTCTACTTACTTTTACTGGTAGAATCAAGTCTAAAATAAAATGTTAAGTTCTGTTATATTAAGCTGAATTGATGTTTAGTATCAAAAGACTTTGACTCTATTTAAAAAGAAACTATTCTTATACTGATATTTATATTAGAAGAGTTTCTTTTAATGAATGCTTTAATATAATTTTCGCATCTACCTTACTTCCACTACATTACATAGTAGCAATCACAATAAGATAACATATAAACCAATAAAAAGGAAGTCAAAGTCGCTACATCTGTGTCTGTGAGAAGGGCATCTCTATTTTGCTTTTTAAAGAATCGTTTATATTTTTTATAAGCATTTTTTCATTATTGGATGAATCCACACATGACCGCGCTGGGTGCGACACATTAAGACCGGCGGGAGCTCGGCCCGGCCTCCCGCCACCACCGGCTGCCAGAGTAGCATAGGACCTCCCGCCCGATATAGAACAGAACCTGTATATATACTCATTGGATAGAACACAACGATACCGCGATTCAGATCCTCGATCCTGATTGGTCGGTTCATATGCAGTGAATAGAACATTAGTTAGAGCGTTCTTTTTTTTAATTGTAAACTTATGTTTTTGTTAGTATGTAATTGAAAGGTTTTAAAGATTTTCTTAATTATTAAGTTATTTTACTCTACTTATGTGTTTTATGAATATTTATTGCAACTCTATAATGTAGAGATGGCTGTAGAGTTGCTAATTATGTTATATCTTCGGTTTTTAGACATTTTATTAAGTAAGAACTAATTTATATAAATTTTTATTTTGATACAAGGTAATATTTGCATCAACTCTACAATTTCGTACTCAGCTCGCTTGTGTTGTGTAAAACGTTAGATGACCTAGTTAGTGAATGCAAGGTATGCATACAATTTTAGCTCTTGTTCCATGAAACAAAAAGCGCAATTTCGCTTAACATTACTCTACCTATGATTTTAGATCCTAATTTAACAACTACATTAAAGAAGTTAAAATCAAAATTAAGTTTTATGTTATAAATAATTCAAAATTTCTCTTGTATTAAAAATCCTCATTTAGAAAGCCTAATTTCATAACTTTTAAAGAATTTTATTAAAATTATTCCATTGAGATGATTAAAATTTCATTTAGTAAATGATATTGCTAATTTAATTACAATATACATTATATTAAACTATAAAGTGGAATATAGCATATCATTTAGAGCAGTACCCGAGGATCTCAAGAAATTGCTTGCAACCAAAAACATGCCCCCTAACAGATACTAAATGAATTTTCTTTAGAATAATAATGGAAAGTAGGGCAAAATTTTAAAATAATAAAAATGACTTGAAGTGTATGTGATAAAATATACTTTTTTTACTTTGATTAAAAATAAGAGTTCGTATAAATTTACACTTATATATATATACCAGTTTATACCTGCGACTTCGTCCACCTTAATTTAGGAATTAGTAATATATGTATAGCTAACCGGACGAACTCTATACCGACCTAGAGGCCGTAAATAACTAGATATTGGAATACGCTACTTCACGCCGATCTTCTGTAAGAGGGTGGTACTTCCCCGGTCGAGCCAGCACATGTGCGAGCTGTAGTAACTGACCACAGCTAGACTCTACCACTTCGAAGATTCTTGTTCTAAAATATCTCTCCACCAATGTTCAACCATATCCCTACAGAAGTTATTGAGTTATAAATAGTGTATCTAACACAAATTTCTATTCTATATTATATTTCGTATGCATTACATATAATTTTATTTAAATTAAAGTTAAAGTAGGACACTAAAGAGCTAGGTAAGATATCTCTAGGACCCTAATTCATTAAGTTACAAGACAACGCAGTGTAAAACAAACAAAAAATGATAAGAACAAAATTTGCCTTTTTTTCTGAAATAAGCATCTGTATTTGAACTATTTTTAATTTAAATGTTATTTAAATATATAGAAATTTTTAAATTTCTGTTAAAGCGTTATAATTTAATTAACATCCTTACCACAAGTTCGTATCGTCACTACACACGTATCGTTAACAGTATGTCATTAATATCTTCATACATTATAGTATTGACGTGGTATTGAATGAAACCGGAGACGATACGTATGTAGTGTGACGATACAAACTTGTGGTAAGCGAAGAATTCATAAATTTAAAGACTAACGAAGTTACTTATAATAAATACAAGCGGTATGGAAGAAATTTTATTATACGTAGTCTCTAAGAGAGGTAGAGACGATAAATTAAATATATATCATACACATCTTTTAAGAATAGAAGGTTGTGTTAGGAAATTTAAATTGTTATTTTTTTATTTACATATACTAATAGATGAAATATATTAATTATATTTATTTAATAATAGTGTATATTTATTGAATTTCTTATGTTAATTAGACTTATTTTTCTTATATTAATACAGAATTTTTATTTTGATAGAGCCTATCTGTGGTCAAGTTACTACATCTCGAACATGGGCTGGCTCGGGCGGGGTAATATGGTCAGTGAGAGAGCATGTTGCCCCTTTCCTTTTCCCACCCTTTCCTTACCTTTCCCTTTTCCCACCCTTTCTCCCTATTCCCTAATCAAAGTTGACAACACATTCTCAAATCTATGTTGCCGTCTGCTCCGTTGCCCCGTTTAACATAAAAAAAGCAATAATTTTTCATAACACATTTGGTTTAACCATATATAAATAAATATAGCGAAAATTCTTGGTATTATATTAAAACTATATCGAGTTAATACTCGAATTAGAATTCAGAGTACAATAAAAATTGTATAATAAACGAGATAGGAGTTTATAAATATATATTCCAGTACCCTTACCATTAGTTCTCACTTACAAATACATATGAAGATGCTCATTTTTATTCCGAAATCTTGTGGTACTTGATAGGAGTTAAGCTACCTGTGATCTTTATATTAAAAAAGGTAAAACAAATGCAACTACTCGTAATATTTTTCGAATTATACTACGCGTGTATTATTGTAAAAACTACATACTACCGTTGTTTTGGTTACTTTTCACTTTCAGAAACCGTGATCAGGAAGACCAGAGGTAGTATAATCATGAAAATATTAGTTTCATTTAAATGAATACCTGTAAGTCTTAGATCTCATTATGGTTGAATAAACGCCATTACTTTAATTAGCTTTGGAAGATATAAAGCGTATTTCGTCTAAATACAGTTGTAGATACTTGAAATATGAGTATTGAGTGAGTATAATCGAATGTTGATGTTTAGTGAAAATATTTATGAAATAGCTAGCTTTTTCCCGCGACATCGTCCACTTTAATTTCGGAACTAGTAATAGGTATATGTATATCTTGAATGGGTGAACTCTATTCCGCCCTAGGTGCAGTAAATAACCAGATATTAAGATTTATTAAGTTGTTTTTTTTTTTCTTTTTCGATCTAACAGAATTAAATATCCTATGTCCCTCTCCTTGTTCTATCTCTCCGCCATTGTTCAACCATATCCGTACAGTCGTTCTTAAGTTATAAATAGTGAAATATGTAACACGACTTTCTTATATATATAAAGATTATGTAGAGTGGAAACCAGAGGTTCCAGGAAAGCTATGAAACTTACTTATATGTATATTATAATAAGTATTACATATTAACTACATGATTGACCAGATGTTATGATAGCAATATCATTCCACAGCTTGTGTGTATTAGGAATCTTCTGGTTCACACGGCTTGGTGTTCGTTCCGCGGAGTCAGCGGCCTCAAGAGTTATATATTTTATCTATACAACGATGTCGCCCCGGTAATGTTCACTTATTTAAATAAAACAATGATAATTATGATTGCTTTATTTTATAGATTTTGTATGTGAAAAATCTAATATATTTTTATGTTTACGTCAAGTTCCAAGGCTTTTTTATATCTAGCTAAATATCTTTCATGTAAAGACAAGGGTTAATATGATGTGTGGTTCTTAATCTAACTCATATTGCAGCGGCAGAAGGCTTACAATTGCTTGTACTTTAAACACTAAGATGTATGTTAGTACATCTTAATATAAAAGAAACCTGATTTCTACCCCTCCACTGTCTTAGTTACAGAGTAATGTAAAATAGAAGCTTACAAGACATTTACAGCTTGAAATCGCAATTTTTTTATCTAAATATATATTAATATAAACGTATATAGCATGATATGATAGAAAAAAGATGCAAATTTGTGATTTTTTATTATATTTATATGATTTTAAAGGAACTATCGTTAACAAAGCAGTTACATATAAGTCAGCGTATATTCAATAACAGATCGATGTTGCAACCAAGATGCAGCCTCTGTACCTGCGCGCTCTGCACACCTGAATCGCGCTAGTGATGTTTTCTCGTGTATCGTAATATATACAAGTTTTCTTCATCTCCATCGGGAGTCCGTTGCCACAAGGTACGGTGGTCCACGCAGCCACCTAACTAGATTGCGGCGCACACTAATTAAAGCCTTATTCCCACGACATACGGATGTTACTTCAAGATTTGCCATTCTGTCAACTAGATGAAATTGCTAGAACGTACGCTGTACTCAGACTCAGGAGAATGACGAATACTTGGACTTGAATCAGTCCCTATGTGGTAGATTTGACTCCTTTTTTGTTTGTTTTATATAAGAAACTAAATAAAATTTAATATTTTTGTATTATTTTCTTTTTTTCTTAGTTTGAACTTTATACTTTGACGTTTCGGTTACTTTGCAGCAAGCACGATCATAGTATTTTCGTAAAAGTAACCGAAACGTCGGAAGTATGTATAATATAGCCTAAAATAATAAAAGACGGATATCTAGTACATACGAAAATATTAGTTCTATTTAAATGAATACTTGCGAAAATTTTAGACATCATTATAGGAAAAGACTACTTAAACAACTAAAGGCGAAATAATTTATTAATCATAAATATAAAAGGTTCTTATATTCTGCGGACGTATTTTGAAATAAAACTCATACTTTATCTGAGATTTTTGTTCCTTTAAAACTGTATACAATTAAAAAAACTATTACTTTGTATTATTTTACAAGGAGATAGTAGAAATCTCTTTTAATTCTAGATCCTGTATATAGAACTAAATACTCCTTGTTGGTTCCACTGCACTCATATATTTTTTTAATAATTGTATATTTCATGAGTATAAACTCGATAAAAAAAAATTACGAACTCATATATAATATAATCGTTGATTTTGTGTTATTTAGAAAAACTTCGTAACTAAATAGAAACAAAGGAAAATACTTAATTCATTGACTATTCACTTCTAACTGCCTGTTTTAATGTAAATTAGAACGCCTACTAAGGATACTGATTAGGGATTACGTATAAACAATAGTAAGCTATAATTCAACTTATTATGACTAGAAGAATCAAAAATTATATGAAAATAGTCATAGTATTTAATATTTTTGTTTTTCTTTTCCTTTATTTGTATTCAAACAATATATATATTTTAGATAATTGCACCAAAAACCGTCTCTGCGCTGCGGTTCAAACAACTGGTTTTTTTTGAAGTTCATTGACACATTCATGTAACATAAAATTTAGATACAACTAATGTTGTAAAACAAATGTTTTATATTTACGTGCACCACTGAGTCGATGAAATTGTTCGTATTTTTTTAGAAAATTACTAGAAGACCCGGCGAACTTCGTATCGCCCTATAATCAAGAAATTACGTTTTTTATTTATATTTTTTGAGTTTACCTGAAAGCCATAAATCTCCGTGTTTTGAAGTGCGACAGAATGATTGACATATTAGTTAGTTGTCAAATCTAATGTCAAAAAACCATTTGTATGGGAAATAAAAAAGCGCTGTTTTTAGGGTTTCGACAGAAATTAATAAAAAAAAATCAGCTTTTATACCTTCCCTGAACCTCCACAAACATTTCAAGACTAAGATAAGATAAATCCGTTCAGCCGTTCTCGAGTTTTAGCGAGACTAAGGAACAGCAATCCATTTTTATATATATAGAAGAAGATGAGAGAGGAGCTTGTACGGTGGAGGTGAGCGTTTAACACGCCTTACATAGGGACCCCTTAAACCAACATTTTGTACATACGAGCGTTTTAAAACCGCTCTTGTTGCGGCCTTTGTTATAATAAAACATGGTTTAAGACTTCTGATAAATTAATAACGATAGCAATTTCATCTGATAAAAGATGAAAAAGCGAATGGCATTCTGATAATCATTATAGTAGAGATAGATTAGACGAAACCTCTCATCATACGGGGGTGTGGGTGTCTGGAACTTGCGACCCAGGTGTCATACACTTTGTGAAATTACACAAAAAGACAATACACATATAGTTTTGTTTCATTATTTTGGGATTTTTTAAACAATATTTGACGATTTATTGGAAATAATAAGAAAAAATCTCACATACATTACATTTAACGCAGTGAGCGATAAAAAAACGTCGCGTTTAAAACGCTGAATTGAGAATATATATTAAGGAATGCATTTGTTTTCTTCAACCTTTAAATTAGTGGTCAAAAAACGTCTCGTGCGAATAGAGTCCTTACGCTATAATTACTTACTCTATTTACTTATGTAGGTACGTATAATTTATAAATATTTTACAGTTTTTGTTTATACTACATACTAGTTTCTATCCCTGACTTCGCTCTCAATATAAAGAGACTTAAACATCTAGAGTCCAATTTTATATCGCATACATTTAGAATAAATTGGTTCAGTTATTTTTCCCCATAAATTAAATATTATTAGACTTTCTTAATTATTTTATTGCGTACTATGTTTGATAAATGGCGAAAAATAATTAATGTACCCTATAATACATATGGCAACCCCAGGAGGCGCGCATGTGCGAACAACGTCACTCGCAAAACGTCCATATAACAACATTTCTTTATAATAAAAACTGTTTACTAAATAAATAAAAAGGTAAGCTGAGATTTCTTTATACAAATATATCTGGGTTTTATAAATTTATAATAATTTCCATTATCATACCCGTTCATTATTTCTTATTAATTTTTTGGATAATTTTGTTTATTTTATAAATTAATTACATGAAGTACCTATATATATGGTTTTTGTTCAATAAATTTTGACTGGCTATCATATTTGACTCGTGTAAATTTTAAAAAGCGTTTTAAATGACAGTGTTGTTTAAGTTAATACTAAAAGAAGGGACGATAATGATTCTAAGTTCTGTCAAATATCTTTTAAAGAAAACTATATATACTGTAGCAACATATACATAACATATACATAACATATATATATATATATATATATATATATATATATATATATATATATATATATAGTAAGGAACGTTTGTCAGTACCTACAACATATTGTACCCTTACCACAAGTTCGTATCGTCACTACACACGTATCGTTAACAGTATTTCATTAATATCTTCATACATTATAGTATTAACGTGGTATTGAATGAAACGGGAGACTATACGTGTGTAGTGACGATAGAGACTTGGTCTAAGGATTTAGATTGGACAAAAAAATATATAAAGCCTATATATAATATTCCTAATAAATTCCTATAAAAATAATTGCGTATATTGGTGTAATTCTATAATTTTCCATGCAATATTTAACGAGAATAGATTTTCTTGTTCTACCGTCAGTAACATAGTTTTTGAAATTTGGTATTTATAACACTACCTTTTTTACGCGACCTCATTTGTTTTAAGCCTTTTAATAATTAAAAATTAACTTCCTCCTCATAACAAAGATAAAACAATCAATAAAAAATGTTCTGTAGTTTTTGGATAACACTACAGATTTTCTTTGTATTATATTGAGATAAAAGTCTCGTGACCCTTCATAATTTTCTTTAGTTTTATTCAATGTTTGATATGACGAATTTGAAACATTTCAAAAATAATCTTCTACATATATATATAAAAATGGATTGCTGTTCCTTAGTCTCGCTAAAACTCGAAAACAGCTGAACGGATTTATCTTATCTTAGTCTTGAAATGTTCGTGGAGGTTCAGGGAAGGTATAAAAGCTGAAATTTTTTTATTAATTTCCGGGAAAACCCTAAAAACAGCGGTTTTTTATTTCCCATACAAACGGTTTTTTGACATTAGATTTGACAACTAACTAATATGGGAATGATTGTGTCGCACTTCAGAACACGGAGATTTATGGTTAAAAGATAAACACAAAAAAAAAAAATAAGACATAATTTATTTCTTGATTGAGGCAGTACGAAGTCTGCCGGGTCAGCTAGTTTAATATATAAATTATAGTATACCTAATATTGATTAATTATAACGACCAACGTATAATTTTAACATGCATGCGAATGAGTCGAAACCTCTCATCATTCAATGTATTCACAGTGCGTGTGTCGGGTCCATCGTTGTAGTGAGAGGAGCTTCAACAGTGACTGGGGCTTGTGACCCAGGTGTAGGTTTAATATATATAGAGAGACGAAACCTCTCATCATTCAATGTATTCACGGTGCGTGTGTCGGGTCCATCGTTGTATTGAGAGGAGCTTCAACAGTGACTGGGACTTGTGACCCAGGTGTAGGTTTAATATATATAGAGAGACGAAACCTCTCATCATTCAATGTATTCACGGTGCGTGTGTCGGGTCCATCGTTGTAGTGAGAGGAGCTTCAACAGTGACTGGGACTTGCGACCCAGGTGTAGGTGTAGGCTATCTAAGGTATTAAACGCTCACCTCCACTGTATAATCTCCTCTCTCTACCAAATTATATTTATGTTAATATATAAAATCTTTCCTTAGATACTATTATGGCTACCAACGGAACGGGTGCTGTATTCTTCTTAGGCACAAGAGCTCATTACCAGGTAACTGACAGTAATGTAGTATCCCTACTAATATTATAAATGCGAAAATAACTCTGTCTGTCTGTCTGTTACGCTTTCACGACTAAACCATTGAATTGATTTTAATGAAATTTGGTACAGACATAGAGTTGCCGTTGAGAAAGAACATAGGATATTTTTTATCCCAGACTTTTGAAAGATTCTCTTTACAAGATATACTAAATAAAAACGTTTTTTTGTTCATCTGAAACTATAAGTAGATACCTAATATAAAATGTATGAGCTTATGAAAGTGACTAACAAAATACAATTTAAAACTACGAAAGATTGTTAGATATACATAATACCTAACTGAAATAAAATATGAAAACATTTTTCATTCATAATAATATTTAACAAGACCGATTAGATTCTTAACCTTTGGAAATTAATTACATAGTTAACATATACTTACCTACTTACATATAAAAGAAAGTTGTGTTAGTTACACTATTTATAACTCAAGAACGGCTGTACGGATATGGTTGAACATTGGTGGAGAGATAGATAAGAACCAGGAGACGGACATAGGATATATAATTCTGTTGGATCGAAAAAGAAAAATACTTAATAAATTTTAATATCTGCTTATTTACGGCCCCTAAGGCGTAATAGAGTTCGCCCGGTCAGCTATACATAATACATATATTAAATTAACACGGACGAAGTCGCGGGCAAAAACTAATACATTTTATATTTATATTTATATTTAATTACATACTTATTCTGAAATATTAATCTAGGTTCTAGAACAGCCTAGTAATTACGATGCGGAGAATGGGAACACATCTACGGAGACGATATACCAGAATAGGTCGGTCGAGGAACTGTGGCCGGCGAGGTCAAAGGACGTGCAGTACGACGGGAACTACAACCAGGAAAAGGTCAACTGGTACACCGAGGACGGCGGGGTCAAAGGTCAATATATATGTAATATTATAGTAATGATCTATCCCAGTGTTTTTCAATCTGTGGGTCGCGACCCCTAGCTTTCTCGGGAGGTCTCCGGTAAAAAGAAAAAGTGTAAAATTCTACACTGCAATCAAAACCAAATCTTTATGGGAAAAATGGGTTTGTTTATTTTTCAAAAGCATTTCAAGTAGTGATGCTATTTTTGAAATATTATCTATCAAATTAGATTGTAATTGAAGTTTATTTGTCTTTTTTGTTTTGATATCTACTATTACAGAGATTGTCTTTAGCCTTTTAATTTAATAATTTCCTTGCCTCTTAATGGCATAGAGGGGTCGCGATATCAAAATATTGAAAAACACTGAACTATCTAAATGTGGTAGAGCCTAGCTGTGGTCAAATTACAGCTCGAACATGTGCTGGCTCGACCGGGGAAGTACCACCCTCTCACAGAAGATCGGCGTGAAGTAGCCTTTAATGTCGGTGTTTCGTCTGATGAGTAATAGAGACAATTGATCTTTCTCTTTCCCACTTTCGTACCCTTTCATTTTCCCTCCCTTTGACACGTTTTCCTCCCACTCTTCCCTAATCAATGGCGACAACGCAATTGCAAAACTACCTCCATCAGGTAGACGTGCTAATTTGGTCCCTCACTCCTTAATCATAAATAAAATGCTATCAAAGACTTTCAGTATTCATTTAAATCTAATATTTTTTATTACTAAGCGTTATTCATTATTTTAACTACATAATATATTTCGCTTACTTTGCATCACGAAAACTAGATTTATCTCTCATAGATAATATTATCTTTATTTCTATTCTATTCTAGTCTATATATTAATTTTATTTCTAGGCTTGTCTACACTGTTTTATTATTTTCTATTACAGTCGAAGTGAGAAGTGATAGTTGTATTAAGAGGCGTATAAAGGGAAGATCTACGGAAGCTTTATTGTCTGATGACGTCACACCTGCAGCCGCTGCACTCAATGACGTAGAAGATAAGACGTAAGAATACACCTGGACACCTGGACAATATTTAGAATATTATGCAGAGTATTAAGTTTATTACTAGTGATATATACATATATAAGTTCTGGAAATATGAGATATAGTAGAAGATAATGGTTTGGTTTTGTTTAGAACTAGTTAATATTGATATATCTATGAGAAAGTCGTGTTAGTTACACAATTTATAACTCTAACGGCTGTACGGATATGGTTGAACATTGGTGGAGAGATAGATTAGAACCAGGAGACGGATATAGGATATTTAATACTATTTGATTGAAACAAAAAAAATTCGTAATAATTTTAAAATCTGGTTATTGACGGCCTCTAGGGCGTAATAGAGTTCGCCCGTTCGCCTCTAGGGTAGATAAGAGTTTGCTTGGTCAGCTATACATATTTATATTAGGTACTTAATTCGAAATTAATGCGAACGGAGCAAAATTTAGTTATGTTATATAAACTTGATAAATAATAAGACAAAGAAATAAATAATATTGAATCAGATAGAATAATGTATATATGAATAATTGCTAATATTAAGGGAATATACCCTTAATATTTAACTACTAATATTATAAATGCAAAGTAACTCTATCTGTCTGTCTGTTACGCTTTCACGACTAAACCACTGAACTGATTTTAATGAAATTTGGTACAGAGATAGAGTCGACCTTGAGAAAGAACATAGGATAGTTTTTATCCCAGACTTTTGAAAAGTTCTCTTGGAAACGGGATATAACCGAACTCCACGCGGGCGGAAAGCTAGTTTATAATATGTATATCTATGTTTCTTCAAACCAGTGAATTAAAATCTAAATCTCGTCGTGTGTCCGTGCTGTCCTACCTCGCGTCCCTCGCGCGGAGGAAGAGACCCACGGAACAGCAGTACCTACAGCACATGGAGAGTGTACTCAACACCTGCACATACAGGGAGTCGTGCAGGTGTCTGGACTGCCAGGTGAGGGAACACACATACAGACACACACATACGTACATACACGGAACAGACACGTCATATATGTAATAGCCACACACACATGCACAGATATACACGCATATACAGTCACTGGTGGCCTAGTGGTTAAAGGGCCCACCTCTCGTTGCCGAAGGCACGGGTTCGATCCTGGCAAGTACCAATGTGATTTTTCCAAGTCATATGTACTTTCTAAGGGTATTTAGACACCACTGATTAATGCTGATTCCCAAAAAAGGGTTGATGTCAGGCAGGCGGTCGTAAAAACAAATAGCCAAAATTATTCACAACATGTAAGGCAGACTCTGGCTATAGCAGGGAAATTGCCAGGTAGTAGACTAGAAGAAGATACACACACGCAAAGGACAGACATACACAAACACACACACACATATAGTAAAGATGATTGAAATGAGATAATGACTTGTACGCTTCATAGAAGATTCTGGTTATGGGCATTATAAATTAACCGATATAAAAATATATATACATAAAAAATATAGGTTGTACAATGATATTAAATAGCAAAACTAAATTGATAAAGGCCAAGTATGTAGTAATAGATTCACCTAATTTCAACTACTAACCCTTATTTTTTCTTATATATGCCAAAGATAATGTATAAATGTTTATTGATAGTTAATATTACATCAAGAGTTTACTAAAACAACAATATAGGTATATTATGTGTGTATATATGTATATAAACATTGAATGACAACTAAGCTTACTACTGCGTACGTAATATTTAGAATGAGATGGAATCTTCCAATGTCGCTGTACGTAAATAATTATAAATTAGTTGCATTTGTACTTATTTTTTATTAAATATATTGAGCTCTTTTTAAAAGTTGATGAGAAAAGTATGTTCACTTACCTGTGCAAGTACTTGTATAAGTATAATTTCCTCAAAACTTATTCGATGTTTGTAAAATAAAAATAAATATTCACTATTAATAATTTAGATTGATACCATAACAACGATCAAAACACAATTTGTTAAAAAATTGTAATTTATCTTTTAGAATAATATTTATTAGCTGCATGTATGAAATTAAATAGCTATTGAAATAATATATAAAACATTTTATAAAATGACAGATGGCTCTTAATAATCGCGGGAAAAATTCTAGTTTTAAATAGTTAGTGTAATGCTATCTAGTTAAGGACAATAAATAAAACACTATCCTTAATTCTTTAAGGGGAAGATATTTACATTTTAGTCAGGAAAACGAAAATATTTAACCATATAAATTATTCTCAACTACATAAATAGCTTCGAAGTATGCAGCTATGTATAAATAAAATAGTATTTTATTTCATGTGTAGGTATATCTATTTTTATTAATAAATAAAAATTAAAATGGTTACAATGAAAATATTTCTCGAACTTATACTTTCAATAAAGGGTGATTTTTAAATATAAAAAAATATGTATTTTTTTATATAAGTGTCATAAAAAGAAAAAGAATAATATGAAAATTTAAAAATAAATGACAAAAAGTTACCAATAAATTCAATTAGTTATTGTAATTTATTTCATAGTTTATGATAATGAAAAGTAAAATTTTATAATATCTTTAAAGTTTTTTATATTGAATTCTATATATTATACATTTTTAATTTAGAAGCACAATTTATCTCTCAATAAGCAAATAATTTAAATTTCAAATTGGCTGAATACAGAAAACTCAGTTCATGAATATGTATAGAAAAAAAACGACATTAATTCTGTAGTAATTTATTTCATTACACAAAAATAAATATTGGAGCAATTGTTATTAAAGCCAAAATTTTTGAACCGATCGTAACAGCACCAACATATTAAAATTATTCAATCTTAAAGCATAAAGTTGGTCAAATTATTGCTATCAACATTCAAGCTTGCAAAGCTTTTATTATTTAACAAATTTATCGATATCATATTCTAAATTAGTATCTACATCATCTGTTGTGTTAATATTTTTCTTTCTTTCTCCCAATCTCAAGCATTTCAAACAATTCTGTCCCTTCCTCAGCCAGCAACCTCTATGGTACATTGAATTGCATTTTTCACACATTATTGCCCCGCTGTCGAACGGATATAAAACCTCATTGTTACCGCAGACCTCACATAAATAGCCTTTGCCCGAACATAATGAACAGTTAGTGATGTGTAATCTGCATACTTCAGTTAGTTCGGTCAATTGTGTTTCAAGGCTGCCATCGTTGATGGCTTGTAAGTGTGACATGCTGTATTTCTTATTGACGTCACCGAGCTGAACAAATAACGGTGATAACAGATTCGATCCTTCACTACAAGCACACAAGTAACGTTTCATCCATTCTAAATCTTTCCGCATCTTATGCACCCATTCCAGTTCAGCGATGAAGCTGAATAGTTTGGAATTAACATTCTCTACATCGATGTAGGGCCGAGACCAAGATAGTGTTAGCATCTGGTAAGCAAGTCTCGATATGTATCTCTTCTCCCAATCCCAATTGTGGACAACCCTAGCTGGTATCGGGGATAGATCATTCCAATGGCAGGTTCCACAGAAATACATTCCAGTGTAATCACACAGACGAGGCTCATTCCACGAGTCTTTGAATGTTAAAGGTGTGCTGCATTCCGCACATTTGTATTCCTGAGCAGCTAAACCCTTCTCTGGACATATATTCATCTCGAACTGTCCCTTCTCTGTCATAACAACATGTGCACACACTCTACATATGTCGTCGACACATTTATAATGACAAATGTATCCACAGTCTTTGCAAATGTAAGAACTTTGAACGATACTCCATATAACACCGCTGCAATGATCACAGTATTGTTTACGATTGCTAGTAGTTGTCTGTTGTTCGAAGTGATGACCCTTAATCGCCACGCGAGACCTTAGCTGACCGTCATTGTCCTTCAAATCTTCTAAACGAAGTCTCAATTCCACTAAATAACGCACGAGCCATTTACGTTCATCAGAACACTGTGGACTATTTAAAACTAGCTCTTTACATTGGTTGATAGCTTTCTCTACTTCCTCTTTCGTAGCTGAGCTGTGTATTTTGAGTTTCTTATTTGCTATGGACTTCGGAATGTAGTTTGAATCGTAACTCTCATCCGCGGAGACGCATCCTGACGTGGAAGACGAGGATCTGGAAGTCACATCCACACTCCTGGGGCTGCAGCAGATTAAACTATTACGATATTTAGGCGAATCGTTCAGGGTTGTGGCCATGATTGTCTCGCACTAATTATACTTCCTTATCTGCAATACATTCTAACACAAACTGTCCTCGTTACATACTTATTATAACAATCTCGTTAATGCGTATATAACATATAAGGCCCATATATATTTTCTTTGTTGTGAACAAAATAAGTGATGAGTAATAAAATAACATAAAGATATATGTCAACTGTCAGATAGCTGACAAGAACAAAGACAATTTTGACGTTTGTGTAATATTTCTTTTTAATATAAATTATCATTTTAGTATATCAAAATATGATTGTATGAGTTACTTGTAACGTTTATTTTTATTTACATGTAATTTGAATATTATTTTTAACAAAGTATTTTTTTTTTTAACTAGATCATAAGTATAATCTTGTAGGTTTTCATTGTTACATTGTATTTAAAGCTTAAGTTTACATAACACTAAATTAAATTAAAATCTTTATTTCTGTTTTTAGAGATTGAGTAATGATGACTTCAAGAAATTCTTATATAAATGATTTCCATAATTTCTGGACTGGTTTGAAAAATATTTTTGTTGAATATTATTATATTTCTATAAAATTTTTGAAGAACTTAATTTTTTAAATGTTAGTCATAATTTACGTCAGTATAGGCCAGGGTAACGTACTTTATTAAGTTGAACAGAAAACTAAAAAGTCCCAATACTTAACAGTACAGGATAATTAGATGTTTTAATAATAAATAATATATATAAATATGTTGTAGAATTATTTTTCATTGATTTCAGAGCCGTTACTTCGAATGCGATGAAGACAGTGACGGTTATAGTTCCGACGATGATTACTCCAAATACAGCGTTAAAGAAGAGATCCGGACACCAGAAGACATAGATGATGAGGTGACAAATATTATAATAATATATTATAATTACTTATTAGTATTTTAGAGGCTATTTACAGTATTCAGCATAATAACACATTGTATTGCCATCTCACTTATTGTTTATATTTTTAGTGTCTTCATTACGAGTACAAGTCAGTGTTCGAATCTTTTTTATATTAATATTAATTTGTAGCAATATTTTTAACTGTTCATTTAAATAGTGATCTATACGAACTTATTTGATTAAATACGTATAAAAATATTTAATGATTTTAGGTATTTTTGGATACACCGGAAAACGATAATACATCGACAGATCTACTCCTGGATGAAGGAATACAAGAGGAGACGATAGAAGAAATCTCTGAAACCGATAGAGATGATGATCAGCAGTTGAAAGTTGAAGTGGCCGCGAGCACTACGGCCATGTTCAACCTCCTTTTGTATCATCCTTTTTCGTGTAGCATTCAATAAAAAAAAACAAACAAAAATATGCTTAATAAATATAGTACTGGCTTATTTCTGGATTCATTATATTTTACATGCTTCATTGTGCTTTTAGATGATAGATATTTATTGTTCGTAAAATTAAAGAATTCGTTACTTCTATATATAAGGAATTATATATTAATAAGGAATTGTTCGTATAGGATAGACACAACGCACATTTAGGATAATTTAATATAAGGTACCTATATTAAGAAGATATTTTTTGGTTTATAAATTCATAAGCTGAAAGTTTCCTAGCTGTGCCGTCAGAATGATAAAAATATATATTTCAAAATATGTTTTACGAAATGTTACAAGATAAAAATTTATTATATTATATTCCTAAACTGCCGTTCAAAATGTTGACAGACAAAAGTATTTTACCTATCCTAATTACATAATAACAATATTTACAAAGTGTATCGGGAATTATAAATATATTTTGTTTAATTCATTTATATATTATATAGTCTCAAAACTAAGTACCGTCCTTGATTCTTGAAGTTCAAATATTTTTATTTGAAATTAAACACTCTATAACAATTTTATTTTGGACTTTCACAGAGTTCTATGATATACATAATTTTAATAATGAAAGCTACTATATTTAATAGTTGTACGTGAAGATATTATTGCAATTTCTATAACAACGAGATTAATTTTAATGTTCTATTATTATTTTTTAATAAATATTATATGTAGTGATGTTATTTAGTCATACATAAATTTTTACTGAATAAAACGAAGTATTTTATGTATTATAACTATGTACAAGAAAATCATGACATTAGGTAGATATACATATTATTTGGAAATAAAAAATGTTTTAACTATGAAAATTCTTCAAAGATAATTAATTAAAACTTAAATTAAAACAAACCAAATTATATATCGTTTTTCTTAAACAAGTATTTTTGCTGCTATTTGTGATTAGTCTTTTATAAATATTTATATATGAATAATTTTCAAATATTTTGTCATGTAAGCCATTATAAAATTAAGTAATTTGATAGTTTAAGTTTATTAGTGTATTGTGTTAATGTAGGCTACAATTAAAATCCTGCAATAATCGCTAACCGCTATGTTATTAATGACAAAATTTTGTTCATATTTTTTTTGTATAATGAAAGAGTATTTATTTAATTATTCCTTATTATAGACTATTTACTTTTTTGGACAATTTTAACAGTATGTTATATATATATTTTTCCATGCTATAGGCAGACTCTGCCTATAGCATGGAAATTGCCAGGAAGAAGAAGATATATGTTTATTATTTGTGTCTTGTTATATGTTAATCTCAAGGTTCACCTGTACATTATAATATGTTGCAAAAAATAAAACAATAAAGAAATTAAATTCCATTTTATTACCAGATTACATAATTACCAAAATCATTCCGGACTATTTTATAACAAAACTAACATGTCCCTCGGGCATCGATACAACAAACCAAATGTTACTTCTTAAATACAAAATCTACTTTAATTATATTACATTACAGGTAAGTCCTACACCCGCCATCCCAACTTGTGGCGTGGCGGGTCATTTAATATTTGTATGGGCTGGTGAAATGTACAATGAATTTTTTGTCCATAATGTTAAAGTTATTTTTACTCGGTACAATTTTATACTACTATATACAAATTACATTCAACCCAAATATCTAATCTATTGCACTATAAATATATTTAAATTTACATTTACCTGAATTATTTTGACATTTAAAATTAAATGTAAAATTTTTGACATGCTTTTTTTAAATTTCATTCATAAATTAGGACAAGGATTTCATATTCTGCCATTTATTAATTATATATATAAAATCTTAATTTTAATGTGAAAAATCTTATGTTGTGCATTCTATACAGGTACGTTGTTAATTTCAGTCGGTAAACAAATATTGTAACTAACATTATGTATTAATCTATGGAGGCTTGTATCGGGTGTACTTTTTTCTTTGATTTTTTTTTGTATTTTCTCTAAATTATCATATCTATATATACACGCACCACTTAATTTACTATTAAAATAAGTTCCAAGTATTATACTAAGCATTATTTCGACTTATTGTTTTTATAATATACATTTTCGCTGATGGTTACATTTTTTTCAAATTTAAATTTCCAAATTTATGTTCTACCGCCCGCGGCATTGTCTTTTGTATTGTATTCGCTCTTAAATACTGCCATCTATATGTAGTTTAACACTACATCTTAGTAAGAAACAGGTCATACATAATTTTTTTGTCTGTCAAAGTAATTTTATACCAATATGAATATTCATTCCATATAATTTCAATGTTTTATTAAATTCCTAATATTTTTAGCGCGAATATTCGAGTGTCTCGTTAATAAAAATTATTCAACTTTATATATAAAAAGATATCTTTCGAATAATTAGCTAAAAATTTTTATACAATTAACTTTTTCATTATTGGGACCCCAAATAAACTTAAAACGCATTAACCGACTTCAAAAATGGGTGATAGTTGTTATATTATATCTGTCATGATTGTTAATAAATTAAACTAATTGAGCAAAACTATGTATAGAGCCAGCATTGTATCAAGCAAGGCACTTTGTTTGGCTCCGCTGATGTTTTAGCTTTGTTAAAAACAAAGTAACTAACGAAACAAAGTCATATAAAACAAAGCTATATGAAAGAAGCTTATGTTTCATTCATATATTTGTAATGGAATACATATTGTAACCAATTATTCATAAAATTTTCTAACTTCCAGGATGTTAAGTGTTTTTCATTTTGCTTTATTTAATAATATTAATTGTATTGCATTATCATTAATTAAGTTATTTTGAGAAATTATTATTATATTTTTCATACGAATCGAGTGTAACTAAAGAACGTCATAGTAATATGTATTTTAGTGTGAAAACTAATTAATTTAGTTCAGCATAAATATCATGAGATCCTATATATAGCATGTACTTGAAATTTCATGTCCGTTAAGTACAATTCACCGCACTTAGATAACACTATTAACTGTTGTAGTCCTTGTCACAGCGGTCGTCGTGATCCCAATATTTGTGGTTCTTGGGTACATCTGTGACGTGTTTCCGGGGCGGGGTCTTGTCTCCGTCCCGCCCCTTTCTTGAATCTCTTGAACTTCTAGATACTGAGCGTAGTCTTTCACAGTCGCTGTCATCGTTTATATTGTCTTTGGATATCTGTCGGGTCCAGTTTTTGTTTTTGGCGTCATCCTTATCCGGTTTCTCCTTCCTCCAATTCTCTATGGGTCGTCTGTTGGATGTTTTTTGGACCTCATTGTTGATTCGTTCCCTGTCAGGCCGCTCGTTGTATTGTGGCACGTATTCTTGGGCGGAGAAACTTTGTGTGTTGTTGAAGTTTTGTATGTACGCGCCGTCACCTTGTTGCAAATAGTTCGCGTAGTTCTCTTGGTAGTTGAAATTCGGCGGCGGGTAGTCGGGTACTACGTAGTTCTGCATGTTTGGTGGCATTACTGTCGGATTGAATACCGTTTCCGTTTCCTCTTTCTGTTCATCCGTCTGTCTCCATGAATTCAGATCGTATCTCTTCGTCAGATTACTCTTAGTCCAAGTTTCAAAGCTGTCCTGTGTCAGTTGTTCTTGACGTAACAACCCAGCACCCGCTCCTAGAATGGGGCGTAGTTTGGGCTTGGTATCTTCATCTTGATTGATGTTTATTTGTGACATGTTCTGACCGACTTTATCAGTTTCCGTTTCCGACCTGTATTCTTCTTTATTCTTCTTCCACGAGCCGTAGCTGACTTCGCTGAAGTTCTCATCCGTTGTTAGGTCTAAATGGGCAGCGTAGAATTGCTGCAGAGTGTTCGGCAGCGGCAGAAATTTGTTGAGGCAAAGATCAGCTGATAGTAGCAGCCAAATTATGCTGACCGGTGGAGGCGAGAGGAGACGAAGTCTGATTGATATAGAGAGTTCATCTAGCTCTTGAGATAACACTGATAGAAGCTCACGACCGTTTTGCATCAGCTGAAACATATACATATATAGTTATACATATATTTATATATAAAAGAAAGTCGTGTTAGTTACTATATTTTAATTCAAAAACGGCTTTAGAGGAACTGAGTTTCCCCAGTCAGCTATACATTTCAAGTTTGAAAAAAAAGTTGTGAACAAAAAGTGGTTAAATATATTATTACCATGTAAAACATTTATGTTTCAAAGACAAATAGATAGTGACAAGGAAAAAATTATCTTGTCAATTTAACAAATGCAATAAATTTCGTGTTCAAAAGGATTTACCAAAAAAACGTATATACACAGTTGTTTAATGATGAAAAGATTGTTAAAAACAATTGTGGGTTCATTGTGATGTAATTATTATCAGAACTGATACTCCATTGTACTTAAGAACGGAATAATCGTTGTCAGTTAGTTGCTTTGTTTACAAGATTGCCAATTTCTATTGAAATGGACTATTATGCGATTTCTCATACAATTCTATTTATACCTTAATTAGCATATATTATATATTTAAATTTCTTTGTTGTACCTGTGTAGCGAGACTTCTATGCGCTCTTAGATCGTCACTGGCTAGTAGAGCGCGCATGTATTGTAGTAAGGGACTAGCCAATATGTGGACTTTGTTACCGTTACAAAGGCGAGCCTCTGAAAATAATATATATTTTACATAAATATGTATATTAAATACATATAGAGGTATTATAAATATATACACATATAACTGGTGTGGTTCATGTTAATAAAAAAAGATTTATTTTTGGCTATTATTACTTGTATATAAGAGTAACACAAAACTATCCTGTCATTTACAGAAATAAAACAAATTTACTAAAACATTTTATATATTTGTGAGGTATAGAATAAAAGAATGGTTGAAAATACAAGACCTTAGTTTTATTTCGCAAACACGATAGTTATCTTTACAACAGTCTTTTATTCTATATTGTCATTTTTCTAGTGTTGCTACATTAAACTCTGGGTTCATTTATTTATGAAAATATTATGTATATATATACAGGGTGACTGGTGAATTACTATCGATATTTGAGGACGTGATATTTGACGATCATATAAGACAAAATAAAAATTAATATAACATAAATATTAATAAACTTCTAAGTAAAGTTAACCAAAAGTTATGTAATTAATTACGCATCGTGTGAACACCCTACCGATTAGGTATGCACTGACACTCACACATACGCATGTCGTGACGTGGTGTTGTATCAGCACGCCGCCGCACGCGTTCACACTTGGAACACTTGGAACGTGTCAACACTTTATTTATTTATACGGAAATTTTGTCAAAAATTAAGTTCCTATTTTTTTTACATAATTCGAACGACAATCATGTACCGAGTATTCTCCTTAAATATTGATAGTAATTCACCAGTCACCCTGTATATACTAGTATAACATATAAGTAAATATATTACCTGCAAAATAATCTCCCATGAGATTAGCTGCGTTTATTAAGTAAATGGGATTTGATCTCTTCAATGCTTCCAGCTCTGTAAAGAAAACATTCTATTAAATATTATGTACCTTATTACTATTTAATATTATTTGTTCATCTACATGAGATGATTAGAGCTATCATAATAAGTTTTAAAGTCAAATGATGACTATTTTGTAATTTTTCGTTCCTATATTTACATTAGTCTTTCTAAGTATATTGGAAGGTGAAGCATTTGTCTAGTAGTAAAATGAGTTATGAGATAGGAGAGGTAGGCACAAATTGTAAATTAAATTTAGATGAAATAAAGCTAATATCTTTCAGATTACTACTAGTTTTTTAATATTTTAACTATATACTCCCGACGTTTCAGTTACTTCACAGCAACCGTGATCATTAAGACGATTTTTTTTTTCTTCGAAATAACGCAGAGTAATAAAAATATTAGTTTCATATAAATCTTATATCTCATCATGTATATTCGTCAAATGATAATAATCAATTATTAAACTAGCAACCCTCCAGCCACCTATATAAGGAGAATCATTAGTGACTTTGTTCTCAACTATTGTCAAGAGAAGACACTCTGCCCTCATTAGTCTTGAATATTGCTAAATCGACCATGACCCATGGACTTTTTTTTAAAAATCATATATATATATACATATATATATATATATATCTTACTAGTGAATGTCCCCTGCATAATAACGTTGAGTAGCGTAGTTCTCAGTAACTGTTGTCTCTGCTGCCTCGTGAAGGACGCTCCTACAGCCGCCAGCCGGCGGCACGTGCCCGCGCTACACAGAGCCGCTGCACGGAATGATGCGAACGCCTGCCTGGAATATATAGACATAGAATTAATTAGAAGAATGGAGATTAATTAGAATCCTACTAATATTATAATTGCGAAAGTTTGTGTGTGTGTATGTTTGTTACTTCTTCACGCTCAAACGGCTGAAACGATTCTGATAAAATTTTGTATACAGGAAGCTGACGTCCGGGAATAACATAATACTTAACATCCCGGAAATCCGCGGGTAACACCGCGGGGCGCAGGTAGTTGTATATAAATAGTTTTTGTATGTGTTACGTACGCGATACATATTAAGAAATAATTGAACTTAGTATGTATAAAATATATAACGAGTGAGGCCGCTGACTCCGCGGAACGAACACCAAGCCGTGTGAACCAGAAGATTCCTGATACACACAAGCTATGGAATGGTATTGCTATCATAACATCGGGTCAATCATGTAGTCTTAGGTGTAGGTTATAAGTTTTAATATGTAATACTTATTATAACATACATATAAGTATGTTTCATAAATAGATAGATAGATAGAACCTCCGGTTTTTGCAGCGACTTTATTTACGTTTCAGTATAAGATGCATGGCAAAGTATATTCCGTATTGGAGATAATAAATAAGCACATTTTGATTATAATTTTTTTTGTTTCTTTATATGTCGAACAGAATAAAAAGGATCCTATGTCCGTCTCCTTGTTCTAATCTATCTCTCCACCATTGTTCAACTATATCTGTACAGTTGTTCTTGAGTTATAAATAGTGTAACTAACACGACTTTCTTTCATATATACAGGGTGACTGGTGAATTACTATCGATACTTGAGGACGTGATATTTGACGATCATATATGACAAAATAAAAATTAATATAACATAAATATTAATAAACTTCTTAGTAAAGTTAACTAAAAGTTATGCAATTAATTACGCATCGTGTGAACACCCTACAGATTAGGTATACACACACACACACATACGCGTTTGGCGGCGTGGTGTTGTATCAGCACGCCGCCGCACGCGTCCACACTTGGAACGTGTCCACACTTTATTTATTTATACGGAAATTTGGTCAAAAATTAAGTACCTATTTTTTTTACATAATTCGAATGAGAATCATGTACCGAGTATTCTCCTTAAATATTGATAGTAATTCACCAGTCACCCTGTATATATATAAACTATAACTTACTGTAGCCTGGCCTCGTCCGGACACATGCTGGTCACTGTGGTCTCAAAGTGACGTAACTTCCGGTTGAATTGTATGCCGTCTTCACCGGGAGAGAATTGTTCCAACTAATAACGCAAATAGACATTCATGTGAGTGATCAAACTCGAAGATATTACTTCTCATGAAAATATTTTTTTGTGTGACTTTGTTTCATAATAAACATTAGTAAATCTGTTAAATTGTAATAGTTATTTTGTAATTAAAAACTTTAAATACACCATTACGATCGTCCAACGAAACAAGATAATAAATGCAAACAAAGCTTAAACATATGTAGTTTTACTAATACATATATACTAAAAAAATTCGTATATTCATAAATATATAGTCGATTATGATATACTAACATGTAGGTTACTTTATAAAACCTCTTTTGACATTGACAGCTAACTTTAGGCGGGAAAATATTGATGTATAAAACTAACCAATATAAGCAACGGCGCGAACTGTTCGTCCACATGCAGCAGCTCCGCTATAGAGTCTTCATTGTCATCATCTTTTTCCTCCATGACTTCTGTGTCTGAAAAAATGTTCACTGTTTACATAGATTAAACATTTATAATGACATATTGATACGAGGCAAATAATAAATATACAAGATAAATCTTATAATTAACTAGCTTTTCGCCCGCAGCTTGGCCCGCGTGGAGTTCGGTTATATCGCGTTTCCAAGAGAACCTTTCAAAAGTCTGGGATAACTATCCTGTTCTTTCTCAAGGTCAACTCTATGTTTGTACCAAATTTCATTAAAATCAGTTCAGTGGTTTAGGTGTGAAAGTGTAACAGACAGACAGAAAGAGTTACTTTCGCATTTATAATATTATGTAGGGATAAGTTGTGGCCGGAACTACATACATACAATTAACATTCTATGTTAATTGTATGATGAAAATCAATATAATATACAGGGTGACTGGTGAATTACTATCAATATTTAAGGAGCATACTCGGTACATGATTCCCATTCGAATTATGTAAAAAGAATAGGTACTTAATTTTTGACCAAATTTTCGTATAAATAAATAAAGTGTGGACAAGTTCCAAGTGTTCCAAGTGTGGACGCGTGCTGCGGCGTGCTGATACAACACCACGCGCGCGCGTGTGTGTGTGTGTGTGTGTGTATGTATACCTAATCTGTAGGGTGTTCACACGATGCGTAATTAATTACATAACTTTTGGTTAACTTTACTTAGAAGTTTATTAATATTTATGTTATATTAATTTTTATTTTGTCATATATGATCGTCAAATATCACGTCCTCAAATATTGATAGTAATGATTTCAATTGTAATAATATTATTCAATAAATATCGTAAAGGTAATTTAAAAGTATGTAGAGCAATCATTTACTGTTTCATAAATATTACTATACCGATTTCGATGTAACTTTAATAAAAGTAGACACAAAGCTTGCTAGAGTGGGCCAAGTCATTACAAGGCAAAATAGATTGCCTTATGGCAACAGTTTAAGAAAACAGTCGTCAATTATAATTGACAAGTCAGCTAATTGAGGACGTTGGTACCAATTGATGCGAAAAAATATTGAATATGCAGCATATATCTATATTTATGGTTATCTTATATATAAAATTCTCGTGTCGCGGTGTTAGACAGAGAACTCCGAAACGTCTTGACCGATTTTAATGAAATTTTGTTAGGATATTGACTAGCTCTGAGAATCGGCTAACATCTATTTTTCATACCCCTAAGTCATAAGCGTTGTTCACCCTTATTTTTTCTTTTTTGGTTTTCGGACGAAATTTTTTGTTTTTATTTTGAAAATACAACCCAAAATTTTATTTTTTTATCACCTCAGGGTCAGGGTATATACTAGATATATATTATGTTTGACAAATAGCTATAATATTAATAATTTCATTTATTTATAGCTCTGTATACTTGTTCTAAAACTTGAGAGCAAACTTCTTATAAAGTAATACACTGAATATCAAGTCAAAGGTCAAAGTTCACAAACTCTTTCTCATAGCTCGGTACGCGCACTTGTTTCTCGAGTGTCGAAGGCTTGAATGAACTTTAAAAGTTGTGCAAAAACTTGTTGTATTTTAAAGTTCTAACAACTTTTTCATTGCTTTGATTTAAATTATACTCAATGTAATATATATATTGTTGTATAGTAGCAATAAAAACTTATTAATAAGGCCTATTATATATTTTTTAAATCTCCATAAAACTATGATTAGTCTTCTTTTTCCTGGCAATTTCCCAGCTACAGCCAGGGTCTCTGCCTTACATGTTGTGAATAGTTTTGGCTAATTGTTTTTACAACCGGCCGCCTGCCTGACATCAACCTTCTTTTTGGGAATCAACATTAATCAGTGATGTCTAAATACTCTTAGAAAGTACATATGATTCGGAAAAATCACATTGGTACTTGCCCGGGCCAGGATCGAACCCGCGCCCTCGGCGACGAGAGGCGGGCACTTTAACCACTGAGCCACCACTGATACATAAAACTATGATTAGTATTTGTGTATAATATCCTAAGTTAAATAATCATCATCATCAGCCTATCAGAGCCCACTGCTGAGCAAAGGCCTTTTCTCACATGGAGAAGGTTTGAGCATTAATCACCACGCTTGCTCAAGACGGGTTGGTGATTTCAAACTTATGATTTGATTATAAGTGCACGTTTCCTCATGATGTTTTCCTTCACCGTGTGTCAGTCTAAATACTCTTAAAAAGTACATATGACTCGCAAAAATCACATTGGTATTTGCTAGGATCGAACCCGCGCCCTCATACATGAGAAGCAGGCCTTTAACCTCTAGGCCACCACTGACTTGTATATAAATATCCTACTAATATTATAATTGCGAAAGTTTGTGAGTGTGTGTGTATGTTTGTTACTTCTTCACGCTCAAAAGTCTGAACCGATTTTGATAAAATTTTGTATACAGGAAGATGACGTCCACAAATAACACAGGCTACTTTACTAGTATATATATACATACATATGTATATGTGTGTGTGTGTGTATATACTATATAATGTATATACAATTCATACCTGTAGCTCGTGGGCTGAGCTCCGCTAGTGTCCTAGCATTGATCTCGTCCTCCGTGTCTCCGGGGCGAGCCTCTCTCAGGTGGTGTCTGCCGCTGTAGCCCCTGCCACGACCCGATGACATTTTACACTGTACAGACATACATAAGGTATAAACAAAGGATATTATAGATCAATATACAAGTATAGGATAGTTAGAACATACCTAAAGTATAAACAAAGGACATTATAGCTCGGTATATAAGTATATGATAGTAAGAACATACACAAGGTATAAACAAAAGATATTATAGCTCAATGTACAAGTATGTGATACTAAGATATTGTAATAATTGTGGTGGTAAAATGTTTAATAATCATTAATGATAATTTTACTAACATAAGTCAGTAAATACTTACAATACCTAACATGATAAATAGGTCTAAATTAATCAAATGGATCGCTGTTATACAGAAAAGATAAAAAGATTCTCTTGAGTTTCAGGGCTTTAAACTTATAAGCTTTTTGATAATTCAATACATTAATATCCACAGGATAAGCATAAACGTAATGGTTATTATTACAAATCTGTGACAAATAGGTATTTAATTTAAGAAAAATGACCACTGGCGTAAAGAAAAGATAGGAAGATTAATTTGAGCGAGATACTTATTTGCTTTCTAATATAGCAAATATTTCAACTTTACTCACAAACATCAAATAATTACTATTTAACAAATAAGAATACATAGTCAAGTCATTTCAGTTTGTATATCTTAAACTCTAGATACTGACATGTAAGGTTTTAACTCAATACAGTAAGTAACGAGTTTTTTGTCAGACTTATAGTAAGAGTAAGTGATGTTTCAAGTATTGACTACTTAAGAAGCATAAAAATTTTCAACTAAATTAGATAATATTATTCAAATCACTATAATTTTGAAGTTATATTAAATTTTGTTATATTTTCCTTATTTTAAGATATTGGTGACCATTTGATAGTGGTTGTCTATAAAAATATGTCAATAAATGTCTTGATTGTATGAAATAGTGATCATTTATATAGGGTCATATAAAATTTAATACATTTTGTTATTTATATTGAATCTCAATATATTTTTTACACCCTTAATAATAGATTTAGTTTAAGACACATTTTGTTAAGACTATTAAAATTTAGACACGACAAAACAATAGTTTCAAAGACAAAGATTTTGATTTATAATCTTTAGACTCTCTCAATCTGTATAACACAACATTTTTGTCATATTGATGGGTTTATAATTATTTTGTGTTCAATAACAATTGCAAATAGTTTTCATTCATATATATGCGTATATCTTGAAACTATTTGACTTTCTCTTGCATACATAATGCAATTCATTATTACAATGTAGTATTATAATAGATTTTGCTTTTATTAAATGGAGTTCATTATGTATATATTGATATTATAAGCATTTTGTAGAAATTGTTTTTTCATAAACCTTAAGGCTTTCTTCCTATCATGAGAACAAGTTTTTTCATCATTAATTCTGCTTATATATAATAATATTGTTATATATTAATTTCTTATTTATATAAGATATAAATATAAACATGTGATGTCAAGACAAGTTGTTTTTGTCACAGTAATCTTTTGTTTAATTTTGACTTGACAATGCAAAGGTTATAGAGATTAATGATTATATATACACTTGTCTATAATAATTTAGACTTAAACTGTTCATAAAAACACTTTATTATGTATATAATATATGTATAATGTATGCAAATATTACTTTTGATCTCTCTTGTAATATATCAATTATGTAGCAGGTGATGTGTATTTATGATATCTAAGAACAAACGCCATATTTACTTCGTGTATCAAGTATATAACGGTATATTTACTTACTTAAATTATCATATCATACCAAATTACGCGGTCACGTATTTTTTATTCGATTGAAACACATCACGAGAATTGATGATTTACGTACGCGGATAAACGATACTGTAAGAGATTTCACCTCATGTTTTATTTATACTGTCCTATGTGACATGCTCTAAGATGAAAATATTTTATAAACTGCCGGTATAATCTTGATGACGATGTTCCAAAATTTCTTAAATTCTCACTATTGATTACCACGCGACGCAATACCACTGACACCTGTAACTATTTTTAACCTAAGAAAAATAAAAATAACATTAAAATATAACTCACCTTAAGTTTATATTTTAAAACAGTTTTTGTTCCTTATTTATTTCCTAGTTGTTTCACGTAGCGGTTGTCATGCATTTCGTTTCCATATTGGCGACGCTAGTGATTCGAAAATTCGAATCTACAACCACAGACTGTTGCTATTTCTAAAAAAATATCTGTTAAATATAATATGAATTTATTTTATATGTAGCAATCAAATTACACATATTAATAACAATTTATCGATTATTTTATTAATATTGAATTAAAACGTCTCGCTAATTGTACCGTATTCTTTTATTTTTTAATTATTATTTCAAATTTATTTGTCTTTTTAAATAATACAACAAAAGAGGCTGACTATATAACAGTGTTTTGTTAAACAATCTATAAATTATCTACGTAATTTCATCCGGTTTATCGGTTTTTCTTATTCGATTGACAAAATGACATTACTGTTTTTTGTGTGTGGAAATGTGGAAAAGTGGAGGGGAGACCTGTTCATTTAATAAGGTGGTTTTGGGTATTGAATATTTTCCTAATATAATGTAAATTGAAAGTATAACCGTCAGTTCACCCTCCTTTAATCGATATTTTTAAATTTTTTGCCTAATATTTTTAAATCAATAATTTTATCAAGAGTTGAAGTGTTATTTTCTCCATTAAATTATCTTCGTAGCGCTCTCAAATTGTTTGTATTATTGATATTTTTAAATCAATTGATATAAACTAAAGAGACTTTCATTGAAAAATTACAATACAAAGTGTATTAGATCCCAGTGAGTTCTATTACGTGATTAATTTGGATATTACTAAAAAATATTCGTAAATAAAATCGGGGACGTGCTTTAAGATTTAATAGGATACAAAATGTCTGACGGTCATGGGGAGCCGAATACTCATAGGAAAGAGAGTGTCGGGGCCGCTAATATAGCTAGTGATAGTCCCGTGACCGACCCTGGCCAAGTACGTGGAGTTAGTACCGATACTTCAGCATGCAAGTTTGATGGTCAACGCGGGAAATCCGGTGCTTTGAAAAAATCCGCGAGGTACAGAAGCCGATCATTATCAGCCTCCTCAGCAGATTCCTACAGTTCCACGTCTTATACTGGTGAGTGTTCCCTTAAAACTGATTATTAATGTTCTATATTCAAATAAATGTTTTTTTTTTTAGTAATTTCGTATTTAAATATTTTAATGGATAATATTTTATGTTTTGAAATGTTTGTTGGGGCCGGAATGCATATAATATTTTTTATAACTTTATCCATAATAGAAGTAGATAGCGTATGAACAAATTATAAATATGAGGCCTTTTGATTTAATTTTTAATACACTATTATATTTTTCATTATCCACTTATTATAATATGGTATATGACTGTATACAAACAGCCGAAGAGACAAATAATTTTATAAAAATATTTAAAAGTGCATAAGTATTTTAAAAATTGATAGCTAAATGTTTTTGTAACTTATTATAATTATATATAACAATTTTAATTTACCATATGTGTATCGGTTTTGGAAAGAGATAAGTTAATCAATGAGATTTTATTTTTACTGCATTTTTGTTTACTCAGAATTTTTGTGGTCTTATATCCCAAAAAAAAGATATGATGACTGTGATTTAAGGAAAATATTTAATTTTGTTATTAAGAATTATTTAACTTTAATTAAAATGATAATGTTTTTAATCAATACAGTTGACCGATTCAATCTTAATCATGGAATATGTTTTGGTTTATTACACATAAACAATAATTTCAATGACCTTATAAGAAAATAAATAAATTATTTCTATTGTGTTAGAAATATACAAAGATGTTTTCATGTTGATATAGTATATTCTTGATTGTTCATTTGTTTTGATACAACAAAGCCTAAAAACTTTAATATAAATCAATATATATTTATATAGAAGATTTATGTTTATATTATATATATTTACATCGAAGATTTTTAGTCTTATTTCAGCTTTAAGCTTGTATGGACACAACAGATACCAATGAGCTAATTTTTATAATGAGTATTATTTGAAAATAATCCTTTGCTATCAATTTGATATTCAGCTTAAATTTTGGTAGATTTTAATATAAGATGAATATATGTAATGGTTAATAATACTTCATCTAGTTTCCTTAATTACTTTTAATGGGTGTTTTTTTAATTCATAGATATATTTTATTATAAAAACATATATATATATTTTTGAATTGAATTATGTAAATGTTTAGATAATTTGTATACAGCGCCATCTATTGACCTTTAATGTGAATTAGAAATTGACTAGTGTTGTTCCAACAGTATGTTGTTTTGACCTATCACTCGAATTAGCCGTATTTTGTATTATATTAAACAAAAATATTACGAATTTTGGTGAATATAATAAAAAAAGCTTTCTATTTCTTGCAATTAATTTCTGTCAATTTGAATTCGAAATTATATTTATTGACGAAGTTGAGATTCTCTAAGTTTTTTTCGGTTACGTATCACATGTGTTTGTGAGAGAAAATTATGCACACGAGGCGAGTTTAAAACAAAACGTTTCTATTACCAACTAATCTGAAGATGTAAAGATAAAAATATGAATAAATAAGTTATAATACATATATGTGTATATGTATGTAAACATATGTATCTCGTATCTTGCATGTGTGGGTGTTTTTCTGTATGTATGTGTGTGTGTCATTTAAAAATTTAAACGTCATGAAGGTGGTCCACTAACCAGTTATAATGTCGGTCATAGATAAAATCATGTGACTATTTTTATATATATATATACTCTTTATTGCATAAAATAATTAACAAAGGTTATTTTCAAAACATAATTATTGTGTACAAAGGCGGGCTTATTTCTAAAAGAAATCTCTTCCAGCCAACCCACAGCTGTAAGAGTTAGTGTGTTTAGCAGGTAAAATATTGTGCAATATAATGCTCTTAATAATATAATATATATAAAAAAAAAACAATTTTGATAAAACACATGATATAATAAATACTATAATATTATAATAAATACATACATACCCATACAACATCTAAATACATAAATATTATATATATATAAATATATATATAAATATATATATATATATATATATATATACAACAGTGAAAAAAAAAATTATATATATATACATATATATTAGTTAATTTGACACTTTTATAACAATTGTGACAGAAAGTGCCCTTTTACTCTTTTTTTAAAGAGGCCAATGTTAGGACTCTTTTGGATGGTTTTTGGGAGATTGTTCCAGAGGTTCGCTGCACGTACAGAAAAAGAGTTATGCAGAAACTTTGTATTACTTCTGGGCACTTCTAACTCTGAAGTAATACAGGAACGTCTGGAACGTGTTGGAGGCGGGAGAAGGTTGAAACGGGAGCGAAGGTAAGAAGGAGAATTTGGATCATTAAGAATGTTAAAAAGGACCGAAAGGATGTGCATATCACGGCGAAGGCGGATAGGGAGCCATTTAAGTTGAGTACGAAATGCAGATATATGGTCATATTTACGTAGGCCGTAAATAAACCGAATAGCCAGGTTTTGAAGACGCTCTAATTTATTAAGTAGCTCCTCAGTCACATCCAAATAGCACACATCAGCGTAGTCGAGGATCGGTAGAAGAAGAGATTGCGCTAGCATAATTTTTGTGCTGAAAGGGAGAAAGTATTGGAGACGTTTGAGAGAGTGGCAAGTGTAGTGTATCCGCTTGCTAACATCATTGACTTGGGCTACCCAGGACATATTGCAGTCAATAATAAGACCCAAATTCCTTACTGAATCGCAGTAAGAAATTGGAACCCCGTCAAAAACTAGTTTGGGGACTAGCCCCCAGTCTAGTTTGCTTCTAAGCCTGCTGCTGCCAACAATTATAGCTTGTGATTTATTGGGATTCACAAGAAGGCCAAACGATTTAGCCCACGACTGTATAGCAGACAGGTCCATGTTTAACAAATCAATAGCCCTGGGCAGCTCAGCCAAACTGAAATGTCGATAAAGCTGTAAATCATCTGCATACAGATGGAAGGGAGAAGTAATAATTCGGGAAATGTTATTAATAAAAACAGAAAACAGTAATGGAGAAAGTACGCCGCCTTGAGGAACACCAGCCGTGAGCTCTAACCAATTTGACGAGGTATCGTCGGTTTTTACACACTGCTGGCGTCCGAAAAGGTACGAATGAAACCAGTTGATAACAAGAGGAGAGACGTTGACTGCACGAAGAGTACCAAGAAGTATGTCAAAATCAACGGAGTTGAAGGCACTGCTGAAATCCAACAGAGCAATTGCAGTGAGCTTGGTGTTATCCATAGCACACCGCACATCCTCCGTTATCTTCAGCAAGGCACCAACAGTGCTGTGGGATGAACGAAAACCGGATTGGAAAGGACATAACAGGTTGTAAGTTGTAAGGAAGGAGTAAAGTTGATCGTGCACAATGGACTCAATGACCTTAGAAAGGATAGGGAGGATAGATATAGGACGGTATTGGGACATAGACGTAGGATTGGTGGTTTTGGGAAGAGGTATAACGATAGCCTTCTTCCAGAGTGTCGGGAAGACATTGCACGATAGTGAAAAATTTATGATGTGGGTGAGCACTGGTGCAATATCATCCAACACTGGAAGAATCATGTTAAGGCTAAGACTATCGCTGCCAATGGCTTTGGTGGAAATAGAACGGACACACTTCTTGATAACATCTTCAGAGACTAACTGAAAAAAGAAAGAAGGACAGTTTGGTGGTTCAAGAGAAGATAGATAAGAAAGAGTATCTGATTTCGTTTCGGAATCTACAGTAATGGGGGGGCTAGAAAAGAAAGAATTTAATGTATTAAGGTCAGCGGGACTGGGGCAGGCTACAGTAGTTTTGCCCACACCTAATGACCTTAAAAAACTCCAAACTTGGGTTTGACAGAGATTTTTGATTGTGGAGTGAATATAGCGACGTTTTGCGTCCCTACACATTCTGTTGCAGATGTTACGTAATCTTTTATATGCTACAACATTTTCATTAGATGGATACTTTTTACATCGATTCCTGGCTTTATCGCGTTTTGCCATGGTGTTTCTGATTGCTGGTGTTAACCATGGAGCTGGTGCATGCTTTATCCGCACTGGTCGTGCAGGAGCATGGATGTCATACACACGAATCAGTTCAGTAGTTAGATCGTTGACCATGGCATCAATGTTATTCGAGGCTAGTAGTGACGACCAGTCGATGTTTCTTACGTCCTCTCTCAAACGTTCAACATTAATATGCTTGAAATCGCGCTGAATAGAGACTTTGCCTCTAACCTTAGGAGGACGCACTTTATAAGTGAGAAAAATTAAGTCATGATAGGAAAAAGGAGCAGACATTTGACCGTGAGAAATAACAAAATTAGGGTTAGAGACAAATATCAAATCAATTAAGGAAGGCTTACAGCCAGGAAAGTAATGAGTGGGAGAAGACATGGAAAGTATATCTAAATTAAAAGAGGACAACAATGCATTCAGTTTCTGAGCTCGTGAATCGTCTTTCAGTATACAAGTGTTCAGATCTCCCATGCATATTACGTGATCAAAGTTTGGTAAAAGATGGTATAAAATATTTTCTAAGTCATTGAAATAGTTAATTTTATCACTAGGGTTGTAAAGAACACCAAGTAGAATATTTTTGTGATGAATCTCAATATTTAAAAAAAGATATTCTATTGAGTCTAGCGAATGTGTTGGGGAGCAGAGAGTAATATTGGCTGGAATGTCTCCACGCAAATAAATACCCACTCCACCACCACCACGCCCAACGCGGTCGTGACGAAACAGTTTGTAGCCGGGTAAAGAACAACAAGTAGATGGTAGAGAGGGTTTCAGCCATGTTTCAGAAACTAGAATGCAGTCGACTACACTAGTGTCAAAGGATGCGAGAAGATCAGAATGGTGAGCTGGTAGACTCTGCGCGTTGATATGCACCAGTGAAAGGAGGTTCTTATTGGGGAGAAATACTTTCCGGAGCTTTCCCTCCAGAAGTTCAGTATCGGATAGTGAGCTATTGTTACTACTTAAGGCACTTTCATAATCATCTGACGTACAAGAAAAATAATCATCTTCAAAATTCATAAATGTAGAAATAAATAGGAAGAATATAAATTAAT